GGAGAGCCCTTGTTGTGGGTGGCGGAGCTGGGGGGGTACAGGCCCGCGGGTCGTGTGTGTGTGCCCGTCAGTGGGGTGGGCTGGCCTGGGGGAAGCCCCCTCGCTGCCTGCACAGGGACTTCATTGTTAGATGAGCTTGCTAGTGTTGGCCTTGACCTGGCGTGTTGGCTTTAGGGAGCCTGATGAGGTGCTTGGCCTTGAGGAGGTTTTCAGGGTTGTGAGGGAGAGCATGTAGAAGCACTTGGGGCATTAGGCATCATTGGGGTCACCATGCTGTTGTGTTTGCAAACAGGCATCCCCTTGAGGGTTACCTGGGAGAGCTACAGTCAGGGGTGACAGGAAGCTGTAATGAAATGTGTCTGTGGCTTGCCTAAGCTTGGAGGATTTTAGCAGTGAAAGCACATGAGCTGCACCTGCAGGATCGTTCAGACCTCTTTCCAGCAGAGCTGAGAGAAGCTCCCGGAGAGAGGGAAAGCTCTGGAGATTGGTCCTTTAGGGGGTGAGGAGTTTCCTCAGTCATCATTAGAGAAGGAGATTTCTTAAATATGTCCATCTATGGAGACAGGTCCTCATGACCTTACATGTTCAGTGGTACTGGCTCATTCTTCAGGTTCTGTCGAACGCTTTTATTGAGGACATTATGTCGGTATTCTTTATGTACAGGAACAGTGAGTAGAGAACTACTTCTCATGCCAGGGGTCGTGAAAAGGCAGGGTAGCTTTTGCTTTTGAAACATTGCAGTTACGGCAGGTGGCAATCACCAGCTTTAATAAATGTACGGGTTATAGGTGTGCTTTTTTTCATAAAACGCTGTAGCAACTTCCATGGACCTTTACTGTGCTCTTGGTGCCTTGTGTCGCTTGGAGCCCCTGCATCTGGTCCAGGGGAGACCGGAGACCGCTGGCCCAGCATCTTAGGCTCCCGTAGACCGGCACTGACCCCAGGCCCTCGTTTTGCTGCTTCTCCTTTTCCTTTTGCTTCCTGAGATTAACCAACACCTTAACCAAGATGGCTTTTCAGTTCTTCTCTCCTGATACTGGAGTCATGTAACAAGTAGCACCACATGGGAGTCCAGGTTTGGGTTGGAAGGCTGCAGTACGTGGTTTGTAAGATTTCTTCTACCTTAAGTCAGGGAAATACTTGATATTGATACTCGAGTGTCACAACCCTGTAAAATCGGGACACTCCCCGCCCCACCTCCACCATACTGCCTTTCTTAAACAGACCCATAGATGTGTGCAGTCCCAGGTGGGATGTGGCAGAGCCAGGAATTGCACCCAGGTCTGCTGGGCGCCCAAGGTTGGCTCTTCACTCATCCCTGTTTGCTAAGCCTGGCTTCTTGCCCCGACCTGTATCGTCATTGACCCAGAGCTTTTGCTGCAGCTATTGCATCATAAACCTTTAGTGTTTGGAAGAAATCTATCCTAAGAACCTATGAATCCCCAAATGTAGAAAAACAGTAATATAACGTCTTTCAAAAGGCACAATAACGTTAAACTTTTATCTGGCCCCTCCGGACTCTTTTGAGAGTTGGTTACTAAGAATATGCAGACATGAGCAAGCTCCGTTCAATCAGTAATTTCCAGTGCGAGTGGGTGGGGTTGGGCTTCTGTGTCCTTAGGGCTGAGGGTGTGGAGCTGGGGGAAGGGGGTTTGGGATTGCTTCCTCCAGCAGCGCGGCCAGGCTGTTCCTTCCTCTGCTTTCCCCAGAGGCTCACGTCCTGTCTTACAATCTGTTTTTTGAAAATGTAAGTACAGTTTAATAGACTGGGTTGGGAGGAAACAGGCAGGGATAATGTTTTCCTTGTGTGGTGGGGCCAATGAGGTGGGGGTGGTTATTTCCTGCTGTCTGATTTGTTACTGTCCCAGGGGCATGCTTAAGAACAAACCAGGGTTATGTTTCTGTAAGTAGGTTTTAGTTTATGATGATCTTTCATCTTGACCAACTCTCTAAGAAAATGTTATGCTTCTTAGGTAAATTAGTTATTTATTTTTAAAGGACTCAGTGACTTAAAGTATGAAACCTACCAAAATTTGCGGTGAAAGTCGCAACTCATTTGTAAAATCAATGGTACTAAGTGTTCCTTGAACGGTGCTGGTAATAAAGTGAGTTTCTGCGTGTCTGCAAGGTAGTGAAGTCAGTCTTTGTTTTGCTCTGCTGTAGCGGCCGAAGCTCAGGGATTGTCTTTGTGGCCTGATGTCCTCCTCCTGTGTGGGCCCATTGTCTGCTGGGCTGGGGCTCTCCACGCCTCATGCCTGAGGGAGAGCTGACGCTGGCGGAGCCCCGCTGTCCTTTCGCGGCTGTGGAACGCAGGCCACTCCTGCTGTGAACCCTGCCCGCGCTCTCTGGGGCCAGCCTTCGTGTGATGGAGCTCTGCAGCGCGGCTGGGAAGTCACATGGGGTCCTGCAGCAGCCAGAGCGTGCAGAAGTCCAGAAGGGGGAGACAGGTGCTGATGAGCTGGGGGGGGGGGGGTGGGGGGGGGTGGCATGTGCGGCTCCTGGCCTCAGCGGGACTCAGGCAAGTCTGGTGGAAAAGCTGAGTGTAACTTGGATTGTTTGGGTGGGAGGGTTATAGAACTTGTCTTTAGCACTTACTTGAAAAGCATGTTTGTGACTGCTAGTTGACATTAACCAACTTAACTGCCTTACTATAGTTTTTTGGTAGAGGATTCTTTGGCATTGTTTCTGGTACATTCTTAGGGGAGGCTTTTATATCTGCATACTATGATTTAATGCTGTGATGGAGGAAATGCCATTTTATCCGACTCACACTCATCCTAGTGATGTTTTCTTGTACTTATTACCTCTCATTTTATAAAAGGTGCATGGGTTTTCAAGCACTCTCTAAGCAGCACTGCTAATAGTTTGTAGTATTTGTAACCAACACATGAAATCACAGTTTAATTTTTGTTGGCACATTGAAGACTTTCCATCTTCTGCATCGGTGACAGATTAAATTTTTGATTTTTTTTTTTTTTTTTTTTACAGTTCAAGGACTATTCTACTTGGATTCATGTTACTTTTAAAGGATAAGGTCTGGTGTAAAGTATAGTTTTCTGATGCAATGGCTGGTGTCACAGTATGTTCTCTGTCCACCGTTCCTTTGACATTTGTGTCTAGTGACCATTTCTTCGAAGGGAGACCTTGTAATCCTGGGACCAGCACCCAGATTTTCCCACAAAGGAATGAACTCCCAGAGCAGCCCCTCCGCCCTCCGGCTCGCTCCCCCACTCTTGCATGAATAGACCCATTCAGGGGCGAAACCAGAGCCCAGTGTCACAGTGAAAGCGACTGATTCTCTTCATCTTAGATAGCGTAGCATGTAAGTTACTTTATCAGGTTTACATTTACTTATGAAGGACTGTGCTCTCCCGAGGACACAGAAAACAGTGAACAGACTAAGAATCCATGTAGTGTGCATGTTACTGATGTTGAAATCTAAATTTAGCTGAATGATTACTTTTTTCTTTAATGTTTAAGCATATATATTTTAATTATCAAACTGGGGAGAAGACTGTATTTGTATTCTATACAACTTTGTGCGTGATTGAGGATGGTTGGTTTCGGAAGAGAAGTAGCACATCTTAGTGCATTTTGTGGACACTCTGAAGCACACGGGACGTGATTTTCTCATTGAAGAAGGTGCTGGGCTGCTGACAGAGCGGGAAGGAAAAAGGGGATGGAGGAAGGGATTTGCTTGCGTTCCTTACTTACATCGGGTCTCCTGGGAGCCCAGATTCTTGCACTCAGCCTGGCAGCCAGAGAGGGCACAGAGGGGGCCGGGCTGTGTCCAGTCCAGGTGCACACGCCCCACGCGGGCTCTGCTCCTCACTAGCGCTTTGATTTTGGAGGATCCTTCCGGAGGACCAGACTGAAGCCGAGAGGGTAAGAGGGGTACTTCTCTGAGGAGGAGAGAGCTGCTGGCCTTGGCAGCTCCCTGCCCTGCCCTGCCCTGGGAGGGGCCTGTGCTCTTGGCCACTGTGATGGAGAGAGGCTCATTTTTTAGTTCAGCTGTTGTGCACTTTTTTTTTTTTTAAGATTCTATTTACTCATTTGAGAGAGACAACAGAGATCATGAACAGAGAGAGGGAGAAGCAAGCTCCCCACTGAGCCGGGAGCCTGATGCGGGACTTGATCCCAGGACCCTGAGATCATGACCTGAGCCGAAGGCAGATGTTTAACCGACTGAGCCACCCAGGCGCCCCGTGTTTTGCACTTTTTATCTAACATAGGGTATCAGGAAATATTTTAAGGTTGATTTATCATTCTTTAAAGTAGTGGCTATTTAAGGGCTTTATACTGGTGGACTTTTAATTTTTAATGTGTATAGCATGATCTGAGACCATCATTCTCTAATGAAATTGATTTATATTTGCTAGGCTCAATCTAAAGAGTAAACTTGATTTTATTATTAGTTGAAGTATACTTTGCGTATGTTAAAATGCATGGATTTTAAGGGTACAGTTCAGTGAGTTTTGACAAGTGTATTTATTTGTAACAACTACTCAAATTATGATATAGAACATATCTGTCACCCTAGAAACCTAGGCCCCTTCCCCATTGTCACTTCTCCCCCCTTCTGCTTTCTGCCCTCAACAGATTAGTTTTGCCTGTTCTTGGACTCACTGTAAATGGGATAGGCATGGCATCCTTTTGTGAATGGCTGGCTTCTCCTGCACGACACCGTGTTGGGGATTGATCTGTGTGTGCGTGCTGTTGTGATGTGAGCAGATGAGGCATCACTTCTCTGATGATGGAATTCATCCCAGCCTCGTTCGACATGTTACCCGTCCCACGTGTGCTTGGCAGTGAGAGGAAGTGAATTGTGTCGCTGTGGGAAGAATCTGTTACACAGGTTTTCATGGTTAACGGTCACAGGGAGGGGTAGCAAACACATTGGTATTCTGTAGAAGCAACACTATCCTGAGTTTGGATAGTGATGAAATTCCCAAAGCTGCTAAATCTCAACGGCGAATAATGCGATTTGTCCTTTGTTGTAGGTGCTACAGAATATTTTGGAAACAGAAAATGAATATTCTAAAGAACTTCAGACTGTGCTTGCAACCTATCTCCGGCCTTTGCAGACCAGTGAGAAGTAAGTTGGATGATAAATTGTATTAACTGCAACATAGTCGACACCTAGACTGTTTGCTCGTGTTCTCTGAGAATGGAGGATAAAATGCTGGTACAATCTGGTGCGCCAGTTTGTTTTAGATGTGGGGGTTTTTAGTGGGTGGAGCCTCGGCATTGGGAGGGGAGAGGAGAGTGAAACTGTACGTACTTTCACTGTTATTTTTCTCGGTTCTAGGTTAAGTTCAGCAAACACTTCATATTTAATGGGAAATCTAGAAGAAATATGTTCTTTCCAGCAAATGCTTGTACAATCTTTAGAAGAATGCACCAAGTGAGTAAGACCCTAAAAATCTGCAAAATTCAGGTTATAGTACAACTGGTATTTAAAGAATCAAGTTTAATGTAATTTTAGAAATCACATTTCTCATGATGGAAACTGTTACTTTGAATCTTTTTGCTGTATCAACTTTTATAGTAAAAGTTGTGTTTTTGACTGTCCAGTGTTTATAGTAGGGGTCTCTGCTGACTGTAGAGAAAGGAAAGAGACTTGCCAGGAGTAGGAATTTTTAAGGGGAGGAAGATCCCGTGCCGGTGGGCTCCTTCTGCACGTGTTCCTGGCTCTCTGGAAGCGGAGGGATCGTAAAGCACTATGTCTATAATGTGATTATCATGCTTTGTTTTACCTTTTCCATGGTATTTTGTGGGAAGTGGGGAGGCATGTTCTGAATGATTGACCATCTACTTGACTTTTTTTTTTTTTCTGTGTGACTGTTTTGTTCTTGGTCAACATCAGACATAGCGAAGGGTGTTTACTAAGTGCCTGCTGGGCTTTGGAAGATTTGAAGTCATAATGCACATGAACACACTTTCCTCGGCTGTAGGTTTCCAGGTGGTACTCAATGTTGATTTACCTGTGGATTTGGTAGAGGAAGGAGATCCTTCTTATTTTTAAATTCTGTTTCTGTGTCAGCAGGACCAGGAAACTTTTTCTCTTGGAATCTGGTTGGTCTCTGGTTTTTCCTTCCTGTAGCGTTTTGTCTTTCTCCGTCTTGGAAGTGGTGAGGGGTGTTCTGCCCTCTGTGCCCCAGGCCGACAGTTGGCCAGGCTCAAAGTAGGTTCCAGGTTTCCTCCAGGCTCTTGATCCTGGAAGGTGTGACAGGGAAGCTGAAGGACACAGGAAGTACTGACTTCCAAACAGAAATTCACATTGTGTTTCCTTTTGTAGCATTTTTAGTTTGTATAAAGTGGCATTACTTACCGGGCATGAAAAGAGTAGTTTGAGAATCGCTTTGCTTTCCTTTTGGTGAATGGAGGTCATTTGCCAGCAATGTGGGGCCTTCGCAAGAGTCCAGCCTCCATGTGTTTGCCCCTGCTTTTCCCAGTGGCCTTGGATAACGTGGACTAAATAATATTTGTGGAGTGCACTTGTAGCACCTCTCTTGGGCCTTCCCTCAGGCTTCTGTGCACCGCACATGTATGGATCTGAACCCTGAAATTCAGGGAGGGCACAAAGGGGACGAGGTCCAACATCTCGTCAGACCGTAGGCGTTGGCGTCATCTCGGACCTCGGTGTGACCTAGGTAGTGTTTTGGTCAAATTCCTCAAGGGCATGGTGCGGTTGGTGTTAGCTGTTGGATTTTCGATGGTGGAACGGAAGGTTTGAGCCTAGCTTTCCTTATCAACCGTTCCTCTTTTCTCCTGTCACGAATATTCTGAAAGTTTGCAGAGATTGGTGTAGAACTCAGGTGCACAGTCCTAGGATTTCCCCCCAGAGCCCCAGCAGCTCAGGTTGAACCAAACTGTGCAGTTTGCTCTTGGGGCTTAGCTGTCCCACGTGGTCCAGCCTTGGCCACCATTGGCCCCGGAGCATAGAGAACTGTGTCCTTTCCTTCTCCAACTGCGGTCGTCTCCAGAATCTTCCTCTCTGGCCATCTGCTGCCCTCAGACAGTTGGTTTTATCTTTTGTCCGAGTTTGTGTACCTGCAGGAGAGTCCGTTTGATAGGATAAGGTGGCTGTAACCTGAAGGGGAGCCGCCTCCATGCTAGAAGCCAGCTGAGGGCTTGGCCTTGAGCTTGGAGTCTGACGGGCCTCCCAAGTAAGGACCACTCGTCATCTGTTGCTGTTCTTCCACAGTTGGTGCTGACCATCTCCCCTTCTGTTCTTTTTGTTCTTGAGAGTTTATGCCTGTTTGAGGCTCAGCAACTGTCACAGCCTAGATTTGAGAAGGGAGAAAGGGGGCCTGTAGGGGGCTGGGCCTCCAGCTTCCACCTAAATGGAAGGAGGGCTGTGGTGTTTCGTGGTGTGTGTGTGGGGGGCGCCTGTCTCGATGCTACCTCAGTAGCAAACCTCGCCAGCCAAGTGATTTTGTAATTCCCCTCTTATACAGAGCTGAAGGATTCATGACGTCTATTTCTCTCACTGCTCAAAGCCTCGCTCTGTGGGCTTGTTAGCTGTGTCCAGGTGGGTCACGGCAGCCGGATGCTGGAGGAAAGAAAGGCGCTTAGTTTGCTGCTTTATAGCAGGAGCTTTCAAGGCTGGCACTTGCTAGATTGCTGGTATGAACACGCGTTCTGGGATGTGTGTATTTGGCTTTCGTAGTGGTGGTATACAAGGAGGTCTTCCTCACTCAAATTTTCTGTGTTTATTACTTGGCAATTTCCCTTCTTTCTGTAAAATTTAGGGTGATTTCCCTTGTGTTGCATATCTCTAGGTTGCCAGAAGCTCAGCAGAGAGTTGGAGGATGCTTTTTAAATCTGATGCCTCAAATGAAAACCTTGTACCTTGCGTATTGTGCCAACCACCCATCTGCAGTGAATGTTCTCACAGAGCACAGGTATGCTCCCTCAGACACCCTCCCCTGAGGGGAAGGACCTCGTGGGGTGTGCTCCACGTCAGCTCGTTTTGACCACGCGTTACATGAAACGCAGTGCGATATCCACTTGTCTGTTGAATGGTTATGGTGTCTTTAGTCTCCTCTTGAGTTGAATGCCCAAGAGGCACTGGTAAGGGGTCTCTGAGGTGCTGAGTAGCATTTTTGGAGTAGAAAAAGAATGTTTTTGTGAAGTCTCCCTTCAGCCTGGAGCCCTTGGGATAGTGGGTTGGGGGAAGTGTTAGGATTCTGGAATGTAGTTGTGAGCTAACTCCAGGCTGCTGGAATCCTGTTTCTCTGAGTTCATCGAACTGGAAGCAGGAGGGATGGAATTAGATTTGCTGTAAGAGAAAATGCTACTTTTAAAAACTGGGGCTGGGTTTTCTAGGTAAAAGTGAAAGTTGGGGATAATTAGCTTCGGGTTCTCAACCTGAAACCGAACTAAAAGAAGTGAAGCGGAAGGCACAGATCTGCCACTTGTTTGGTGAGACCCGGGAGGCGGCAGGAGGCAGAGGAGCAGCTCTGTGGCTGGGGGGGCGCTGCTCAGTGGAGTACAGGGGCTCTGTTTCTGCTTCTCAGAGGGGCACCAAGCTTTACTCTGTGTGCTAGGAAGATTGTCATGGTTACTTTTGAAAAGAGCCATTTAAAAATCTTTTAAACCGTGAATGAAAAAATTGTTCCAGTAGCATTAAGGATAAGTTACAGTTAAATATTTGAATATTTGAACTTAAGAACTCTTGGTAAGCAAGCATGTTTGAGCTATTTATAAATTGAGCTGAGGCTCAAGTGTAGTGTCCCTGTGAGTGGGGCTGGATTGTGGGGCCGTGGAGGGAGGGTCTCTGGCTCACTTGACTTGGTTTGAGCCCCAGCTCCACTCAGCTGGTGAGCCTTGGGTAAGTCGTCTTGCTTCTCTGGGCTTTATTCTCTTCTCTGAAAGTGCCGACTTGATGGGGTTATTGTAAGCATTAAGCAAAACATATGTGAGCAGACCGGAACTGAGTGAGCGTGGCGGGTCGTCTCCGTGCCCCTCCGCCGGGAGACCCTGTGCATTCACTGCTGCTCAGTGTGCTGAGACACAGTAGGACAGCCTCTCCAGTCCTGAAACGAGGCAGCAGCCTCTGCTGGGTGACAGAAGGAAAGGGAGGTCAGGGTGTATGGTGTCCACAGAAATGGAATCCAGAGAACCCCCGCCCTCTCGCCCCTAAACTCTTCCTCTTTGCCTTTCTGGGACGGCGGCTGTGTCCACACATACCTTCCGTTATGTGCTCTGCCATCCCCTCCTGGCCATTAGAATTTCCATAAAAGTTGAATGTGCAAGGATTACATTTATATTTCTGAGAACTCCACAGGAATTCTTGACGTGGCAGTAGGGGAGACAAACAGAAAGCAAATAGGATGTTAGGGTTAAAACTGTCCTTTAAAATTTTTGTTCTCCTTCCTTTTGGGGGGTTGGGGGTTGATCCTCTAGGGTTGGGCTGGAAGTCTAGAGAGGGTGGGGTGGGCACTTCTGGGGACCGATTCTAACTAGATATTTTTCCCCATGGAAGTGAGGATCTGTCCTGGAGATGGCATTTAAAGTGATTCAGATTGTTTACGAAAATGTTCAGACTTTGAAGGGAAATGCTTGCGAGTATGTGATGTTTATTCCCTCTTCTGTGCTATTACTTCAATGATTGTTTGTGTCCTAGCTGAAACTTAAGTGCAGCGTTTTCCCAAAATAACAGGGAAGGAATACAGACAAGTTTGAGCGGGGAGCCTCTGTACCGCCTCCATGTGGCATGTCCTTGGGGTGGAAGGGTCACGGTCCTGCTCTGGCAGGGTGAGCTGTGAGAGCGGGCGCAACTCAGGCTGCCGGGATGCGCTGCCTGTGTGCCCCCCTGAGGTCTCTGGGCAGCGAGGGGCCCCGCCCTGCCCACCTGTCTGACCCTGCTCCGCAAACGTAAGTTGGTGAATTGAGACAGGGCTGCAGTTGGCCGGGAGCTTCTGTTCGTGTTCACCACATTTTATTCTGGCCTCTTAACCTGTAAACTCTTCCCTGCTTCCTTTGCATTTGTTGGGAGTCTTAAAGCTGCCACACTTACGGGTTGATTCACCTATTTTTATGCTGGAATATGCTTTTTAAGGATTGATTCAAGTGTACTGATGAGAAATTTTAAAGGCTTTATTTGCAATTGTGTGATTGCTCATTGTGTTGAAATTCTGAGTGTGAATCTTGGGAATGCAGAGACAGTGATGCCCGTTGTGTAGAGTCAGAGCTGAGAGGTTCCTTTTGCATTTTCATGATAGTAGACATAGGTTCCTGGCTGCCTATTTTAAATGAGTTATGTGTTTCATAATTCAGTCTGTAAATGGGTTTATTTCTTCCCCAGCACTGTAATTGTTGCTTTCTGCTTGGCTTACGTGATGGTTCTCTGTATGAGTGTCCTTTTGTTGGAGCCCACAGTGTCATTTCAGTAACTCCAGAGGAGATCTTCTGTATAAAGGTTGCTAGCATCAGTAGAAAGTAAGCTGAAAGAGCCATTGTTTGGTCACAATGGCCGTAACCAGCTGTTTTCTCTTGTACTCAATTTAAAAAACTAAAATGAAATATGATCTATAAAGACCTAACTGTGTACATGTTCTGGCATTCTGAGATCATGGATGTTAAAAGAAGTTGCTTTTGTTTGCAGAAATGTCATTTTAAATTCTTAGTTTTAGGGTGTTTCTGGAGGGGGCGAGGAGTGGAACTTGCTTAGTTCTGTTACTTTTTCTCTGCCATTACTACAGTTAGGAAACTTCATATCCAGAAATATATATATAAAAAAAAAAGACCATTCCGAATGGACTTTCTTGTGTTTTTTTCTTGTGGTAGGAAAGGCTCCGCATGGATCATGTTTGAAGGAGTTGTGAAATACACTTTTAGTTTAGTGCCATAAGTTCCGCTTTTGTGGGACTGTGCCTGATCGGTTGTTCAACTTAGAGAAATGCTGCTCATAATACACCTTCCTCCTTCTCAAGTCCGTCCCTTTCACTCCACTGCCTTAGGGGTGGGTGGATGGGGTAGTGGAAGAGACGGGCATCTGAGGAAGGAGGTGTGCGGGGCCGGCAGCATGTGTGTGAGACACAGAGGAGTACAGCAGGGTCAGAAGGACCACACCAGCCGCTCGGGTCCAGCGTGGGCCTCGGAGCCCTCCTCGGGTTCAGCCACCCTGCTAGCAAGGGGGATGGGGGCCTCCGTCCTCGCAGGGTGTCTTCCTCTGTAAATGTGCATAATAACGACACCTGTGTGGCAAGCTCGGGGACGTGCTGGGGATTATGTACAGAAGCCTCTCAGATGCCGAGCAGAGTGCTTGTCCAAAAGTGGGTCATCCCCTTCCCTCTCTCCTTCCTGCTGCATTCTCCTGGCTACAGCTCTCCCTTCCACCCAAGTTGAGCAGAAGGGAGTGGCTGGGAGAAAGCCGGCCTGGGAGCACTCCTCAGTTACCCGCCCCATCTTAGTGGGGAGAAGTCGATGTCGAAGAAGGGAGGAGGCAAAATGGTGATGCAAACAGGTGCTCGGGGTGCTGCTCCTGGCCCTTAGACCCCCCCACAGTGTCAGGGCCAGACACTGGACCAGTGCGTGGCAAGGTTGCAAAACCCTGCTGTGCCAGGCTTCCTGCCGTCAGGGGCTTGTCCAGAGAAAACCAGTCTCTGAAAGCGTGTTAGATACACACACACCCACACATACCTCGAGAGAAAGCTCAGCAGCTTCTTTGATGATTTAAGTCGCATCACCATGAAGGGCTGTCTTACAGGAGTAAAATCATGAAGGCTTAATCTTACAGAAATGAGAAAACGTTATGTGTGATAAGTTTTTATAGCTAGGATTATGTGAAACCTTCCCCTTTTTAATGATTTGCCTTGACTTTGATAATACTCCGAAATGTGTATATATAAATTTATTTGAAAGGTTGATTTTAAGAAATGGAGCAGTCGGTACAGATGAGTGGATAGGCAGGCAGATGGCAGGTACTATTCACCGCCTTAGTCCTGTATTGTTTACACAGCCCAGGCGCGTGCTCTGGCTTCAGTGAGTGCCCCTTGCTTAACCAGGCCACCTCCTTTTCATAAACCCGACTTTAGGTAGAAGTAGCTGTCTAAGGGAGTCTTCGTGCTTAAGAAGTGTAAGACTGGTTTCATAATGATCGATTCCTTTGTTTTCAACCTGAAATGTGAAACCTTTTATTTCTAAGTTGGTTTAGTTAAGTGAACTGCTTTCCCCGTGGACGCGTGAGACCAGTCGCGGTTGGGTAAGAGGTAGGTTGTGCCCACACCGATTCCTGTCCTCGCGCATTTCCAAGTGAAGTCCTTTTAGTTGAACTATAGGAGACGGTCGTACTCAGTACTTTGGAACTAGCAGTCTCAAAGGGTATACATTTTCGCCAGGAGCCTTTAGTGTGGCTGGTGCTCCCAAGGAGCTTGGGCAGTGGGCAGGTGTAGCTGAGTTGGGGCTGAGGGGGACAGAGGAGGTGAGGCAGTGGTTGGGGGCCCCTGGGGTCAGATCAGGTCACCCGCACTGTTACAACTGCTCAGTTATTCTTCAGGGTTTTCATATTTTTTGGCTTCGCTTAGTGTTCTTCCCAGTAGGTGACAGGGGGGGCTCAGCACCTGAGCTGGTGTGTCCTCTCCCCCAGCTTGTCTGACCCTCCCGTCCCCATGCCTGGAGTGATGGAAGGGGCAACAGCGAGGAGAACAGGGCAGGGGTGCAGGAGAGGCACAGGTGGACAGGTCCGGTCTCCGGCGTGAGTCCTGACGTGTGTGTCGCTGACCGAGCTCATGCCCACCGCTGCACTCCTGGCCTGCTTGGCTCATTCCAGACGATATAGCTGTTGAACTGAAACACTCAGGGCAGACCCAGCGTGCTGGTCGTGGAAGTTAGAAGAGAAATAGAATGAAGGTGACAGGAGCGCGGAAAGTATGCGGGCTTTCAGCTCCTTTAATTTCTGAGTACGCGCTCAGTGTCCTCATCTCAAACACGGGCGACATTCTTTATATATTGTGAGGGCTGAGTGAAGTGATGATGGAACAGTGCTTTTGAAATTGTAAAGCCCAAGTGGATCAGTTACTTGATTGTGCTGTTGTCTCGGGCTCGTTCCTCACAGGATGCTTCAGGGGCTGTTGTCTAGACCGGTAGGCGCCTAGAGTGTTCGTGCCCTGGTTCAGTGCATGGTAGCACCTAAGCGTCTTCTACCTTCTTTTTTTTTTTTTTTTTTTAAACCACCTCGAGGTACCCAGATAATGGAAATCCGTTCTAGCTTGGAGAACGCTTGCTGGAATTTGGACGCTCCTGTGTGAACTTGCGGGAGTGGCCTTTCATGAATGGAATCGCCTGTGTTCGCTTAGGCGCGGCTGTTCTTGCTCATAACCAGAGCAGTAATAGCACAAACCCCCTGGGGTTGTCCCCTTTGGTGTTCCAGTGTAGCCAGCACCCGTGTGGCTAAGTGTGAAGTGTTAGAGCCCCCGTTACCTCACAGGCTGGTGCTGCTGGTGGGCAGAGTGTGGTCCCCTGCCTCTGTGCACGCGCTAACTGCCGCGCCGTCTGCTCTCCCCACGTGGCCGCCGGCCGTGCAGCGAGCAGCTGGGAGAGTTCATGGAGACCAGAGGCGCAAGCAGCCCGGGGATCCTGGTGCTGACCACCGGCCTCAGCAGACCGTTCATGCGCCTGGACAAGTACCCCACGCTGCTCAAGGAGCTGGAGAGACACATGGAGGTACTGTGTGCTGCGGGCCGGTCGCTCGGGATCCGATACCCTGTCAGAAAAACTCCCAGTCCACTTCGGAGGCCAGGACCAACCAGCGTGCTTTAAGGGGTTTGATTTAATGGAGTTTCAGGAATGGTTCTGTGAAATACTAAGTTTTCTGCTTATCCCAGCTCCATAAAAAACATGTCGTCCTTCATCTCCTCTGTCACCCACTGCTGCTGTTAGAAAAATCTCCAAAAACTAGAGAATGTTAATCTCGGTTTTGAGTAGCACTGAGGTGCCCTATTAGGGACACTTAGCCACAGGTGGTCAGGGCAGTGTTTATACGGTAGTAATAGTAAGAGAGTCCATCAGTTTCTGATCCAGATGTGTCTTCCTTTTGAGTAATAGGCTGTAGGCCTGGCAGACACTTGTGTCCCAAGTTACCGTCTGGGGGAGGGTTGGCACACTTTCCCTGTGAAGGGAGGGCCCTGCGGCCCCTGCCCCGCCGCCCACCTCCACTCAGAGCCGCAGAGGCCCTGTGTGAGGCCGGGTGGAGGGGGGTGGGTGCAGACTCCTGCCTCGGGCTTCTCTCTTCTTACACTGTTCTTTCCCCAGAGTCCAGTGGCTCTGTGAGAACAAGAATGGCACTGAGAAAATGCTGAGAAAATAAGATCTGCTGTGGGTTGAAAAGTGTTGGGAAAGTTTCAAGCTAGTCTGTAGAGTGCCTTTTAAAGAGAAAAAACTTTACATTATGAAAGCTAATAGTGTTTCTTCTATTCAAAGGATTATCATCCAGATAGACAAGATATTCAGAAATCCATGACTGCCTTCAAAAATCTCTCGGTAAGTGATTAAGCCAAATGTTATGGCTTTATCCCCCAGGCATTATTATGACAAGGGAATGTAGAAAAAATTTTTGTCACCTAAAAATGTCCGATGATAAAAGATACTGAGAGCTAGAATTTGGATGTACTCAAGTAAAAATGAACATGGTAGTTTATTTACCATGGTGGTAAATTCACATGCTTTCCTGGGCTGTGGACACCAGGAAAGTTACAAGTAGTTTACCCTTCAAAAAGGCACCGCATCTCTGATCTATAGTTACGTATAAAGGTCCTCCTCCACGGCCAGTGCCTTTGGCGAGGATGAGTTCAGTCCCGCTCTGTCACCGTGCTGCCACATCCCCTGTGTTTCTGGAATGTGCCTCACAGCATTTGCTCTTGGTCCCCTGCTCAGCCTTTGCACTAGCAGAGACCAATAAAACCAGAAAATTCCAGTTTAAAACCAGTCCGGAGTGCCATGGGTGTTGTCCCTCTTAATTCCGTGCTCTTGAATTCAGCGCATTCTCATTCAGTGGACTATCTGTCTCAAGAAGAAACAAAATAATATGGCCAATACTTGAGGTTCTGGAAGCTTCTGTGTCTTCTAACAGTGGTGTTCTGTGTCTCAGGCCCAGTGTCAGGAAGTACGGAAAAGGAAGGAACTAGAATTGCAGATTCTGACGGAGGCCATCCGGAGCTGGGAGGGAGATGACATTACGACCCTGGGCAGCGTGGTGTACATGTCCCAGGTCATGGTTCAGTGCGCTGGGAGTGAGGTATGCAGGGCCCGAGTGCCGTGGCGCCGTGCCCCCCTCTGCAGAGCGGTGGGAATGGAGTGGAGGGACGAGGTGGCTGTTGGACTGGTGGCGGTCCTGTTCCCATCTCCAGAGTGTCTTTCTTGAAACAATTTAAGATGCCTTGGGGAAAAATGGACTTGAGAGCTGAACATAATTTGTATTCAGTATAATTTGTTTTCTAAAGGCTTTCTCAGATTCCTCAGTGACAGTCAAGAATGTAAATACTTTAGAACATTATGCTTTTATGATCGCATAATAACAGATTTTAAAGGAATGTCAAATTTAATAGGACTCTTGTATCCTAATTTGGTATCTGCCTTTTGTCCTTGTGTGACATAAAAGTGGCTTCTGCTGTTAGGGAGGCTCAGCTCACAGTGGACCACTTGACCAGTGTAAGTCAGCCAGGATGAGTGATGATCAGCCTGTGTCACCTGAAGGGTGGCATCCAGACAGGACCTGTGTCTCAGGTGTCTGTTGCAGAGCAGGATGTATGTCCCCACCTGCCTGGGCCTTCCTGCCAATGCGATCACTCTAGGAAGTCTGTCTTCGATGGTTTAGATCATTCAGCCTGTGTGTCCTCTCTCCTGGTTGGCAGTTGTGGAAATCCAGTACCTGGTGGGTTTGGTTTAAGTGAGAGATGAGTGTAGACTGTTGTATCACCACCCAGGGAAACCATGATTTGCTTCCCTGTGTGTGAGTTCCATTCACTTGCTCACCAAGCAAGTGTCTCCTCTGGAGTTTTGTCCTACCTTTGTGTGTTTCAAAACAAAACAAACCAAGAACAGTAATTAACCTGACCAAAATATGCTAAAGACCCACTTGCAAACTTGAAACTCTGAGGACAGTAAGAGAACTGAAACTAACGTCAGTTTGGGGACTGTAGGAAATCGTGATTTCTAGTCTACTACATTGACTGAAAGACCCCAAACCTTTCCAGAAAGTCTTAATCATGCACTTTTAAACGTTGGGAAATGTTTACTTTGTAAGCAATGTTTTCTTTATAATGTGAGATGTATGAAACATGAATAGGTGTGCTTAGACAGTGGTTCCAAGCCGTGACTGGGAAGATGGTGGTGGGTCGGACAGGTTTCTCGATGAGGGGGGCCTCTCAGGGCCTGGGCTCTGAGGACTCCTGCCACGCGTTGCACACCTCTGTGCACGGCATGTAGGAAGTGCTATCACACAAGTTTGAAGTGCGCAACCTGTTTTCAAGGCCCGTGGCATGTGACTGGCATCGGAGGACTGCGGAGGACCCGGCTTCTGGACCCCTCGGCGTTTGCGGGCCGTGTGGAAATGGCCGCTCGTGGAAAGGGCTGTCTGCATTCTTTACATTCCCAGGAATCTGTCCTTTCGTTGTGGTCTCTCTGGGGCTTTTTTTTTTTTTTAAAAACCTTTTTGAAGCAAGTGGTTTTTAATAGAAATGCTTTTAAGTCTTTCATGTAAACTAGGTAAGGTTTGTAGCGTGGATGAAAACAACACTGAAATTGATGTATCAGGCTTTAAGACAAGTGCCAGGAATTATTAATAGACTAAAGTTGATTTTAACATTTTATCCTGTCGTCCTTTAGCTTGAAAGGTCCACCTATTCTCCACCACAACCCCCAAACGTTATGAGTTCTTTATTTTCTCTGAAACCTAAAAAAAATTTTAGACTAATTAAAGAGTTAACGGCAGAGCTGAACTCCTTAACCAGTTTTTTTTTTTTTTTTTTTTTTGAAAGAAGCTATAGGGGCTACTTGTAAGTCTAAGAGTTTATCGTAATTTTGTTTCCATTTATTTTAGCTGATAGAATTTGGTGGAAACAAGGAAATATGGTACATGTTTCATAAGATCTAATGTAGATACTTGTCCTCACATCTGTATGTTTTAAAAACAAAATTACTTGGATTTTTTTGTTCTTTTACATTAGGAAAAGAATGAGAGATACCTTCTGCTCTTCCCAAATATTTTGCTAATGTTGTCTGCCAGTCCTAGGATGAGTGGTTTCATCTATCAGGTAAAATACATTTTAAGTTTGTGTTTCCTTGTTCGCTGTGGCCTGAGAGCCTGTCGCAGGCGCCGTTTGCGGCTCTGGGTGAAGCACTCCGTGTCTGTGCCGCGTTCTGCCCGCGCTGCCGGCCGCTCAGCGCCCCTCCGCTCCGCGCGCACACAGCTCCTGGCCGCGCCGCCGGGCAGCCGGCGCCTCGCGGTCACGGAAGCGCGGGCGGGAGGAGACCAGCGCCGTTCGCGGGCTGCCTCCTGAGGGTGTGGGCCGCCTGAGGTGCCCGGCGGCTGTGTCACCGCCTGAAGTCCCGTCTCGGAGCTGCTGCCTTCTGGGCCACCGTGGGCCGGCGGCAGCGGCGGGCTGGGCTAGTGGGGGGGGGGGCGCGGGGGGCGCTGGCGCTGCAGGGGACCGGCTGGGGCAGCTGGGGCCACTTCACCTTCTTGTTCGTAGTCGTCTTGCTGACGTGCTCTGAGAGGAGGGGTGAGCTGGTTTAAGAGGAAAACGCAAGGGGGCGGGGGAGATGCTTTGTTTCCGTACAGAAATTTAAAATGGGGTATTACGTAGCTGTTTTCTGTCTGGTAGGTGCTCCTGGCTTCCCAGCCTCTTTTCTGTGTGCTCACAGAAGGTCGGGTCCTCCCCGCCGCTCCCCCCCGGGTCCTGCCTCCACAGGAGTCAGCCCCCTGTTTGCCGAGTTTCTTCAGACGTAGTATGCTTTCTGTCAGGGACACGAACGCAGGTGACCTGGAGTTGAGGCACCCGTGGCGTGTTTCTGCCTCCGCAGAAAGCTTTGCCGCCCGAAGAGGGGCAGTTGTCGCACACTTACTCCAGAAAGAGCACTTTGAAATGATAAAGCTGCCATGTGCAGGTAAACCCAGAAAGTCAGCTCCTCTTACTTTGTCAGCGTGCTGTGGAGCAGGCGTCCGTGGCCGACATGCCCCCGCCGCAGGTCCCCCCACACGGGCAGCTGCACCTTGTCAGGCAGCCCCAGTAAACGTGCAGCCGAGTCCTTCCCACCGGCCTGCTCCCGCTTCATGTCTTGTACCCCGAGAGGCTGAGGATGGGCCCTGCTCAGACCTGAGGGAGCAGAGGTTGCCGTTTGGGGCGGGCTCAGGCCCCTGGCGATGAGGCTGGCGTCCACGCAACGTTTGCCCTGGATGTTGGCATTGACGTGCCACTGGAGGCCTCATGCCCGCAACGGGACCCCACTTTGCCGTTCTGTGCAGAGTGTCCTGGGCAGGGTGTCTGAGTGCTGTGACCCATGCTGTGTGCACCGTCAGGACCCATTTCTGGCTCTCAGGGACAGAGGAAAGCTTGCCAGTGCAGTGCAGGAACGTGCTGCCTGCTGGAGTCGGTGCTGGGTTCAACCCGGGCCCGCACCTTCATCTTCCGTAGCACTTCCCCAAGCTGTCCTTACACTGCCGTGTGCAGCGTAGAGCGGTTTTCAAGTCTCTCCGCCCCTGGAAGTGCCAAGCACGGTCCAGTGTGCTACCGGGTGAGCTTCCGGACAGGCTCTGCTTGTGCGTGTGTGTGTGTGTGGGGGGGAGACCACCATGGCTGCTGGAGGATGCTGGACAGCTCCTCGGCAAGTCGGGAGTGCCCAGCCAGCCGTGGCACTGCCGCTGTCCCTCTCGGGCCCCCTCCCTTGCGGAGAACTACTGCTTTGGGAGCCGCAGAGTGTCCTGCTCCCCTGGGAAAGCATCAACAGACTTTTCCTTAAGTCTCTGTCACTGTGTGCCGTGGAAATAACGTTTTGTTTTTAGCCCTCTGCCCTTGCTGATGCTTCGTTTGCAGCCCCGTTCTAATGGTGTCTGTCCACTGACCTTTCCCGTTCTGGTTCCCAGCCGTTTTCTGCATTCTGTGCAGTGCTCGGCTTAACTACTGACTTCTTCGGTGGACATTCAGGTGTAACTCCTGTGCAGTTCCTTTTGCTCCAACTTCCCTGTTTTTGCCTTCCAACTCAGAACTTCCTCTGAATTTCTTTGTGAGGCAAATCAGTGCCTCCTTTGCATACTGCATCTGAAATATAACTACTGTAGACTCTTGTTTTTTTGTCCTAATAGGGCCCATGTTCTTGTGTCCTGGTGTTTATGTTTAGAGGAACACATCAGATGGAATTTGTTTTTGTTCTGGTTGCTGCTCTGTACCTTACTGCTGGCTCCATTTTTTTTTTTTTTTTTATTACAGTGTTATGATTTCTTACTTGACCTAGAGATCTTGTAATATAAATGCATATGGCACAAAGAGCTTTTTTGGTTTACACAGTTCCTCTGCCATTTCTAAAATCATTTAATACTTATTTTGATAATGGTACCTTCTTTACTAGAAAAGCACTAATTGTTTTTTTTTGTGGGGGGGGTCTTTTTTAGGGAAAGCTACCAACGACAGGAATGACAATCACAAAGCTTGAGGACAGTGAAAATCATAGAAATGCATTTGAAATATCAGGTGATAGGCACAGACTTTGTGGATACTCTCTGTCACGGTGATGAGAGGCAGCTTTCCATTTGTGTGCAGATTCTTGCTGGACTGTCCAGAGGGCTGATGGTTAAGCGCTGTTCAATTCTACTCTGGGTGTGTGTGTGCCTGTGTGTGCTTTCTACCTGTTTTCCCATTTCAGCCTGTGTCTTCTCGCTTCCAGGGAGCATGATTGAGCGGATCTTAGTGTCCTGCAACAACCAGCAGGATCTCCATGAGTGGGTGGACCACCTACAGAAGCAGACGAAGGTCACCTCTGTTGGCAACCCCACCATCAAGCCGCATTCTGTGCCGTCTCACACCGTAAGGATCCCTGTACTTCTGCCTCCACACCGGGGGGTCAGCCTTTGGTGGGTTGTCAGCGAGTCAGCAAGCACAATGAAGCATGATCGATATTTGGACCAAGAGCACAAATACGGGCCTGGATTTCCCTGAGGGTACTGGCGTGTCCGTGTGGCATCTGATTGCCTCACACTGCTTGCTCCTAGGCTCTGCCTCCCTGCACGTGGTTTGCTGGCATCGGCTCCGAGGGGGACCTGGGAGACCAGATTATGGGGGTTTTCGCCTGAAACCTCAAGAGCCAGCAGCCCATGGATTTTGTTTTGTTTTGTTTTGTTTTGTTTTTACTGAGAATCTTAATCATTGTTTTGATTTTAAGAAATCCATTCATCTTCTACTTAGAAGAGCTCACCAGCTCTTTGACTTTTTAAATACTTAAACGTTTCAAAGTATCTCAGCACAAAGTGTCCCGTGTTTAGAACCTCTCTTTCCTGGTATTTTATGCTTAAGATACTGGTATCAAGTCCTTGTTGTAACCTCCCTCATCTTTCTCCCACAATATTGAAGCACGCACACCTTTTCACAGGTGACCTGTGAATGCACAGTATTTCCAGGTGGTCAGTTTTCCTCGAATCCCTATTAGATGGTTGTGATCTTTATTTGGACTTTCTACCATGTGGTTTGTTTCTACATTCAGTATCCTTAGCAGTCAAGTTTTTGCTCAGGAAGAGTGGCTGTAGTGTAACATCTTTTTTTTTTTTTTTTTAAATAAAGATTGATTTGAGAGAGCACGCACTTGTGTAAGCGGGGGGAGGGGCAGAGGGAGAGAGAGAATCCTCAAGCGGACTCCCCACTGAGCAGGGAGCTGGATGCGGGGCTCGATCCCAGGACCCTGAAATCATGACCTGAACCAAAATCAAGAGTCGGACGCTCAACCAGTTGAGCCACCCAGGTGCCCCTGTAGCGTAACATTCAGCTCAGTTTTATCTTACTTGGTTTCTCTTGACAGTTTGGAGGTTGAGACTACTTGTTTGCTTTAGCTAATGTTTCATTTTGAATGGCTCTGCCATTTATAACTTCTCCATACTTAAAAAAAAAAAAATACTAAAGATGCTTAGCTTACATGGAACTAAATTTGTTCCAAAGGTATTGTATGTACACGTGAATGTTTATAAAGAAAAATGGAAGTGCTTCTTCATATTGTCAGCAACACCTTGAAACCAAGCAGAGGGATTTCACACCAGATAAAACTTTGTTCTTTGAACCCTGGCGGTGTTTCTCACAAACAGGCATTTGAAATGTTAAATATTCTTCCTAGAGAATTTCCTCTTTGAGGTATTATGTATTCTCCCTGTGACCTAGCTGTGTCCAGCTGGAATATTCTCATTTTAGCATAGACCATTCCCTCGTTTGACTTTTTAAGGAGAAACAAATCCAAATACTATTTACTATGATGTTACTGCTAGAAGAGATATTCTACATAATTTCTCTGTGTGAATTATGTAGTTTCAAAAAACTGTTATGCAGTGGTTGTATTGCCTGTTACAAGACACACGCACACACACATACACACGCGTACGCGACCAGGACGGGCCTGTGGTTACTGTGGGAAGTTTCTTGCTCTTGCCCTGGGGTGCAATGGCATCAGCCACTGCCAGGCTTCTCATTAAGTGTGTGTTTCAAATAGGCAGTTCTTTTGAATGATGATCTCACCCTGATTTCCAGCTTGTAGAACACTTCGCTCTTTTATTAAGAAGCATGCCTTTTTGTTTTGGGTAATTTGAGGTCATTGGCTGATTTTGAGTATTATTTTATTGAACATTTTTGCATTTAATTGTCACTGTAATGGAATATTTTGGGGTTTTCCAGGCATATGAACCCCATTATCTTTCTGAGAAACTATATTTTATATAACTTTATTTTGATTAAAGCTGGTTTTCCTGAGAAAATAACTTGTTTTACCCTAGGGATTGGCAAAATTTTTCTGCAAAGAGACCGTAAAATATTTTTAGTTTTACAGGCAGTATGGTTTTATACTTTGGTTTTATAGCCATCAACAGGAATGGGCCTGGCTATGTCTTGGGAAAACTTTTTAAATGAAAACAGGCATTTATCCCACTCCTAAATCACCAGGCAGTAAATTATGTGACTGGGGAGAATTACCCTCCCCCATAACCACATTCTCAGTACAAGAAATGCCTGTTCTTTTACAAAATTCTGATCTAGGCTATAAATGGAACACCTTGTTGCAGATGCTACTCCGTGGCAAATAAAGGTGGCAGTGGGGTGCTTGGGTTTGGGCCTCCGCATCCTGCTGCCTGCTCCCCCAAGCTGCCCTGACGCAGAGTAGACGGGTGGCCCAGAAGCTGACTGCTTGGGGTTGGAGATTAAAGAAATGATGACAATCTGGGAGTGTTTTAGAAATAGGCAGAACCTCGTGGGTCTGGTTGAGGGGACCCCTGATGGCAGCTGTGGTGTTTCACGCTCTCTTCCCCCGTAGCTCCCCTCCCATCCGATCGCCCCATCCAGCAAGCACGCGGACAGCAAGCCGGTACCCCTGACGCCTGCCTACCACACGCTGCCCCACCCCTCCCACCACGGCACTCCGCACACCACCATCAACTGGGGGCCCCTGGAGCCTCCGAAGACCCCCAAGCCGTGGAGCCTGAGCTGCCTGCGACCCGCACCTCCCCTGCGGCCCTCGGCTGCGCTCTGCTACAAGGAGGTGAGGTCTGAGCGCAGGCGAGTGTGAACTTGACATCTCGGTGGTGTTAGGTTGTCTGTTCTCTGCTTCGTTCTGTGTTTCTGTCTGTGATTCTGTGACGTAAGACAAATACAGACTCGCTTCAGAACCGTGAAGGTCTGCCTTGGTTCTTCTGTCCTTCCCTTCTGCTTTGGCTAGCATTAGATGCTCTGTGCCCCTCGCGGACAGGCCTTGCTTCCTGCCGCCGGGAGCCTGGAGCGGGGGGCTTCCCTGGGCCCCGCCTCCGGGGAGCCTGAGTTAACTTTGCGCACCTAAATCCATGGTGGGTCTTGCCGAGGCTTTCTGACCCTTCTCCAGGTGCGAGTGAGGGCCGCCCTGGAACCCTGCGTTGGTCACCGGGAGCTATTTGAGAGGAAGAGAGCATGCACAGATGGAAGTGGGAGCGCACGGCTCTGCAGCTCTGTGTTGGAGAGCTCTGTCTGCGACAGGGTCCGTCCTGCACGGTCACACCAGGCTGCTGACGCTGCACCTGCGTTCAGGACACGAACTACCTTAACTACCCGAGAAATACTTGCACTTGAGGAAGCTCATGACTGAAGTGCTGGGTGTGGTCATGAGCATGAGTAGGCGTGCACAGCCTGAGTGCGAGTCTGAGCGCAGAGCGTGAGGTGGCACGTCCTGGTGCACTTCTCGTCCGTCTGAGGTCGCGTTTGCCTGCGGCCCTGGACCTCCCCCATCCTTGCCAGCGGCCCTACGTGTTTTACGACCCACAGAAGTATTACATAGGTGATGATCTGTCCTTGACGTGTTTTTGTTAACGAATTTTGCTGTTCAGGACCTCTGTCTCGCTGGTGATCACATGCCCAAGTCCGAGGTTGCTTTGCCGTGGGCGGTTATGTGACACGTGGGGTTCTGTTACCCATTTAGCCTGTGCACATGGTGTCGGCTGTGCCGGTGGGGGTCTCCCTGCTGTCGAGGAAGGGTGGGCGGAGAGTGTCCAGTCATGGAGCACAAAGCATGAGGGGAGAGGTGTGGCCGTGAACCTGAGCTTCTGGTTTTGCTGTCTGGGCTACACCTGCTTTGCTGGACCCAGTGCTGGGGTATCTGTGGCCTTGTGTCCCTGAGCCCCTCCAGACCCTTCGTGCAAGTCTTGGGCCCACGGGTGGGCGGACGTGGCCTGCGTGAGCATGGCGTGCTGCCCAGGGCTGTAGAACACATGCTGTAGTTACTTCTCTGGGCACTGATTTCTGCCACATTTTTAAAAGCCTGTACAGTTTAGCAGAAGAGATTTTGAAGAGCTACCTTCCAAAACCAAGCTGTGTTCCTTCTGTGCTTTTGGTCTGATTTCCTCTCATAGCCCCTGTCACGTTGGTTTCCTGTCGTAAGACTCACAAATGGTTTGTGTGACTTCAGTGATGCAGCATTAAGACCTTATCGGTATTTCATACATGCTTGGCCGCTGGAGCCTGGCCTGTCCCTGCGGACCTTCTCTGTGGTCTTTAGTCACTGTGTTTGAGAGGGAAGGGGCGGATCGTTGCATCGTGACTCCGCCATGAGCTCATGTGTCCATGCCAGGGTCCATGCCAGTGCTCTGTTGTCTGCATGCGTCTGCACTCAGGGCCCACGGGCAGATATTCTTCCCTTTTCTCCTCTCTGGAGGCTTCTACTTTTCCTCGAAAAATGGCCCTAGTTTTCCTGATCTCTTTCTGGTTCTCTGCAGCAGATGGGTCTGCTCCAGAATTTGCAGCACGCGTGCATCTGTGCCTGTGTCAGCTAGCTTGCCTGCGAGCCTGCAGCACCTCTGCACTCTGTTGTCACAGTGCCAACGGGTCCAAGGGACACCAGGGTTTTCATCAGAGCCTGCGCCCTCTTGCTTTTGCTTTTATTATATCAATGCTCAGCAGCTGGCCAAGGAAGCCCAGCATGAGTAAAGTAGGAAGTTCTTTACCTTGAACGGCTGTAGAAACTTCTATTTCATGCCATCAGTGACTCTCACCGACACGTCAGGAAAAATTCCTGCCTTTGGAATATGTCAGCACTTTTTCCCCTTTTTCTTTCTCCAGGATCTTAGTAAGAGTCCCAAGACCATGAAAAAGTTGCTACCTAAGCGCAAGCCTGAGCGGAAGCCTTCCGATGAAGAGTTTGCATTGCGGAAAAGTGAGTACACACCACGTGTGGCTGAGGACACGGGCCCGTCTCGGGCGCAGTGCTCACAGCGTAGAGAGAGGGCTGGTGGCTTTCCGGAGGCGTCAGCTGTCGGGGTCTGAGCCTTAATGTCTTGTCTAAAGGACACTGAGGAGCGAGGGCAGTGAACCCTTCCAGCGGTGACACCCACGAGCAGGAGAGCTGCCTCGTGCTGAAGCACATGCGTGGTTTTCCCCTTGATGGAACCGCTTGCAGTCTCTTGGCCTCTGTGATCACTTGTTCTGGGGACCCAGGCCAGGGGTGTGCAGGGTAGCCCTGGGACCACCTATTCTGTCTGGCCCCCTCCTTGGCCTGGGCTGCACCAGGTGTCTCTACGTGTCCGGGGGACACTCCTCCACTGATAGTGTGTGAGCAAGTAGAGCTATTTTGAGAAGTGACTGGAGAGATTGTGTGTGCACGTGTCCACCTGCTGCTTCCCACTGCCGAGCTGGTTTCCCGGTGCCACAGGCAGGAGGGGTTCCATGGCCGCAGACGGCTGTGGGACTGTCTGCGCTGCAGGAGGACCTCAAGGGGGAGACGGCCCAGGCAGTGGCAGCCTCAGGGAAGGGGTGGGCTCTGCCTCCTTGCCCCTGTGCTCCCGGGACCTGTCACGGGTCTTCCTGACTTTGTGGAGCATTGCTCTTCTTTTTTGCTGTATTTATTTGGGACCTTTCAGGGATTCATTTATAAAAGAAGACTCGTGGGAGAGATGTTTGTAGTCAGAACGTGAGCATGGCTGATGTCACCCCAGGGAAGGGGGCTGCTTGGTTCGGGGCCTCTGCAGGATCCCTGGAGTCCAGGTGGCCTGCACGCGGGCCTCCTCCCCCACTCATCTTGATATGGCTGATAAGCTGGAAGTGGTAGATGCAGGGAGGGGCCTAGAGGCTGCTCCATGAACGTGAGCGCTTACACCGCTCGGCACTGCAGCGGGCACAGCGTCGCTTGCCATCATGGCGGTCCTTCTGCCAGATCCTGAGCATGCAGAGCAGGGTTGCACTCCCTGGACACTAATGAAATGGGTGAGGAGACAGTCCTGCCTTGGGGGCTCTGGAGCCAGTGCCTGGGCTGCTTTCTCCACGTGGTGCCCTCTCCCCACCTCCCAGCTGCGCCCTCTAAAGTGGCCCCAGCGCCCCTCCCTCCCCCACCCTTTGCACCAGCACACTATCTGCCTGTTGAGTCTTCTGTCTTTTTACTGAAAGGTAGCTCCATGGGCACAGCAAGGACCCCGTGGGGCTCACGTGGGAGGTGGCGGGGTTGGTAGTGAGAGCTGATTCTCAGAGGCGCCCTGAGCAGATGGGCCGCTGCAGTCCTGCTGTGAGCGGAGCGTGTGATGGGCCTTGGTTTGAACACAATCGCCGACTGCTGTGTTGAGTTCAGGCAAGCAGAGGTGGGAGGAGGCAGGCCAGGTAGGAGGTGAACTGGTCCAGGTGAGGAAGATAGGATGGTGGCTGGACCAGGTGATGACGGTGTAGTGGGCCAACGTGGACAGAGTTCAGATTTCTTTGAAGAGGGAGCCTGCAGGCTGTGGTTTCTCAGCCGGGGGTGACTTTGCCCCCTCTGGAGGTACTCCCGTCTAGAGGCCTTTTTGGCGGTTACAGTTGGGTGTGTGGGCACTGCTGCCTTACAGTGAGTAGAGGCTAGGGATGCTGCTAGACGTCCTAGAGCCCACGGGACCTGTCGTACCCCCCCCCCCCCCCCCCCGCCGTGCAGTCTTGCCGAGGCTGGGAAGGGGTCCTGCAGGAGGAATCCCAGGCCCGAGGCCGGTGGAAAGGCGGGTGGTGAGGATTCGGAGCTGCTTGCGGGCTGACACGGCTGCTCAGGCCATGAGATGTGATGCGAGGAGAAAGACAAGGTCAGGCCTGGGGAGCTGAGGAGCCAGCGGAGGGAACTTGGAGGGACCGGGGGCTGAAAGAGAACCAGGGGTTCCATGTGGGTTGGAGGAGAGATGTCAGCCTTGCGACCTCTTTGTAAGGGGGGCCTGTACATCTCTCGTGCTCCCTGAGCACCTGCTCTAAAGTCACACGGTGCTTTCCCAAGTTCTTTTAGTCTTGCTTACATTCAGAATCCTGAAAGTTTTTGTGGGCTAGCCTGTGCCACATAGGGGCTGCGAGGAAAGCAAGCTCGGTGATAGCCATAAACTCCGTCGTGGGGAGGCTGGTGAGCGTCCTTTCTGGTGTCCGTGCTGTCTCTGGGCGTTAGGTGTTGCGTGCATACCGACTCACCTCTGACATAGCTGTCCAATCCTGTCATCTGGACAGGTAGTCCCAGGCACAGATCGCGGTCCCCTGGGCAGAGGTGGAACGACGTGCCTGTGAAGTTGCCATATTCAGCAGGTCCTGAAATGAAGTGAGGAAGACCCTCTCTTACTCCTGAGGGAGGAGCTTGTCATGTACATAATGGGCTCCAGTCAGTGGCGCTAAGTCCATTTTCCAATAGCTCTTCAACTCTGGGTGCTGAAATTTGTGTTTTCTTTGTAAATTTTATTTGAGTGTAGTTGACCCACAACATTATGTTAGTTTTGGCGTTACCCCATGGTGGTTTTATGTTTGGATGCTCTGCGCTGCTCAGCACCTGTGCGGCCCCTGTGTGTGACCACACAGCGCATCCCACCATTGACTGTACGCCCCGTGCTGGGCCTCCCATCCCTGGGGCTTACTCATGCCTTAACTGGAAGCCTCGGTCCCCCGCTACTCCTCATCTGTTCTGTTACCTAACCCCAAGCCGTCAGTTCTCTGTATTTACCAGTCTAATGCTGCTGTTTGTTCGTTCGTTTTTATTGTAGATTCCACATATGAGTGAAATCATGGTATTTGTGTTTTTTAGTCTGACTTACTTCGCTTAGTGTAATATACTCTTGGTCCGTCCATGTTGTCACAAATGGCACGATCTCATCCCTTTATGGATGCATAATACTCCTGTGTGTGTGTGTGTGTGTGTGTGTGTACACCACCTTCCTTGTCCATTCATCTATTGGCGGACACTCGGGTTGGCTGCTTCCATAACTTGGCTGTTGTAGACTATGCTGCAGTAAACATACGGGTGCATGTATCCTTTCAAATTAATGTTTTTGTTTCCTCTGGGTAAATACCCAGTAGTATTACTGGATCATATGGTATCTTAAGAAAAACAAAGCCGGAGATACCATAATTCCAGATTTCAAGATATACTACAAAACTGTACTAATCAAAATAGTATGGTAGGTACAAAAATAAACACATATGCCAGTGGAACAGACTAGAGCCCCAAACCCATAACAAAAGAGGCAAGAATGTATCATGGGAAACAGAACAGTCTCTTCAAACAATGGTGTTGGGAAAACTGGACCACTTTCTTACAGCATACATGGAAATAAACTCAAAGCAGATTAGAAAGACCTAAATGTGAGACCTGGAACCCTAAAAATCCTAGAAGATACTGTTATTTATTTTTAGTACAGTATATTCGATTTGTCTTGTATATGTATCTTACTATCATAAAATGTTGAGGCTTTATATAGCTTCTACTTAAGCTTTCAATTCTTCCACATTTTTATTAGAGTAGGTGAACCTCTTAAAATACATACCCAAGTGTAATATCTTAGAAAATACAAAAAAATATAGAAAATGGAGTAAAACAGAGAAGAGGAATAGTTCACCCCCATAGGATCATGTGAAGTCTGCTATGCGCGAGGCACCGAGTCCGGGACTGACGGCACTCGATGTTGTTGGTCTGGAAGCTTCTCTCCTCCTCCATGCGTGTGGTCTGAGTACATGAAGCCAGCGTCTGGAGGGATCCATGGTTGGACAGTGCTGGAGGAACACTGTCAAGGTCTCGGTAGTGCTTTGTGACCATCTGGGGTGAGGTTGGCATGAAATCTCTCGTACAGATGGGGGGTCAGAGGAAGTGCTCTTTCTGGAGCTCTCCAGGATCTTCGTGCTGCCCCATAGCACTGGGGATTGTCAGAATTCCTTATGTTTGTCAGGCCAGTGGGTGAAAACCTGAGGCTTTGTTTTGTTACTTAGCAAGAAGAAGCCTCTTAAGGTTTTTTTGTGTGACTTGCTTGTTCCTTGCCCTTTTTTCAATCCCAGCATGGGAGGGTACCGCCTTTCCTACGGACTAGTAAGACCGCTGCTGCATATGGAGGGCACTGGCCTTTTGCCAGGTATGGGGTAGGTATAGTTGCACAAACTAGGTAGGTATGTTGCGCATAAAAAATATTCTAAAAACATAGAGCTGTTTTATAAATGTTAGGAAACCGTTCTCTGATAAAAGAGAAGTTGTTTTTTAGATCGTGACCTGTTCTACTTGTTACTTTTAGCTTGATTGTGGCGTGTCGTGTCTTGACAGGCACGGCCGCTCTGGAGGAAGATGCGCAGATTCTGAAGGTCATCGAGGCTTACTGCACGAGCGCCAAAACGCGGCAAACGCTCAACTCAAGTAAGTCTCACCGTCTCGGACTGCGCACTGCAGCGCCTCGGTGGGGTTAGGGTCCCCATCCGAGGGGCCTGTGCTGGGCCCTGTGTGTGGCTGTCACTGAAGGACACCTGGCTGGCCCGCCCGGCGTCCCTGAGGCCCCACAGAGGGGCTGAGCTGCCAGGAAGAGGACGCATTTCTACCAGACGTTCTGCTGGGGAACTTTAAGTAGGAGGTGCTGCCAGGGTGTAGAAAGCTTTTGCTTAGTAAGAAGATGTGCTTGGAAGACAGAAGATGCGTTCAGTTATTTTTAAGCTCTTTAAGCTATTGGTAGTGGGACTTTTTTCCTTAAGATTCGTAGAATTGTCAAGAATGTAAACCTAGAGCAAGTCTTTTTTAGCAGCCCCCCACCCCCCGCTTTTCTAAATGATGCATTTATAAACATTTTTGGAAGTGGACCCCAACTAATTTATGTGGTGGATTTCAGCACCACTGAGTTTCCTGTATCTTTATGCACAAGGTCTCAGTTGAGGAACCTTAATCTGTCGGGACAGGAAAAGGTGGGCTCTTTTTGTCTTTAACTTCCCAGCGTTTGAAGGTGGAGTGCAGCGCGGGGGTGCAGACGCAGTGGAATGCGTGGTTTGTTCAGGAGAAAGGGTCGCCTTCCCCTCCCCTGGGGCCAGGACCACAGGCACCACAGGGTGTCCTGCACGGTCCTTTCTAGGTGGGCTTTTTGGGGTTTGGTTTGGTTTTGTTCGAGAACTGGTTTACGTATTCTGGCTTAGAAACTGGTTTCTGTTGGATCGTGTGTCTTGGATTCCCTTTCTACCCTGACTTTGGGCACATTGCTGATCACTGCTTCATTCCCACCACCTCTACTTTGGTGGTTCAGATCTGCATCCTGGCTTGTGTCAGACTAATTCTGATAAAAAGGACGGGGGAAAGGGAATTTTCACCCGCTTTAGCTTTTGTTAAAGATGGTGACAGTTAAAAAGGGCTGGCAGGATTGAACCCCAGGGGCAGTCTGCAGATCACCTAGAAACTTCCCTGTGGCCGGTGTTTTAAGTGTCTGGTGTGCGCATCGAGACTCTTGTTTGTCCTTGTCCTGTGAGAACACACATTCATAGTAACTGGTCAGCAGAATGGGGGAGACATGGAAAGGCCTGGAAGTGGGGTGTGCATCAAGTCAAACGGTCATTTGTAAATACAGTTTGTCTTTTGATACTGATTTCATAGATTTGGTAAGAAACTATTTTAGGTTTTAGGTTATATAAAATGTGGCCATAGTGTTTTGGGTTTTGAATTGGAAATTTTGAAGAATTCTCTCAAATTACTTGAAATAAAATTGCAACGTGGTAGTCTCAGGTAAACAGACCAGGTAACATGAGCTTTGTGTGTGTGTTCGTGAGAGCTTCGTCTGTTCATCGGGGAGACGGTGCCTCATGATGTCCCTGTGGCCTCGCTGCTTTGGTTGCCTGGAGGGGACGGCCCGTAGACCATGCGGGTTATCTGTCATCTGTATCATGTGTCTCCAGTTCTCCTGTGTCAGAGAAGTTTGCACGATACATGGATTTTTATTTTCAGCTGATACTATGGGCTAAGCACTCTGGGGCCTCGTGTGTCCAGTCCTAGATGGCTGTAACCCTAATACTCTTAGGACCAGATAGGATAGGGGAAATGGATCCTTGATGCTGGAAGGGTAGTGTGGGATTACAGTGGAGGCAGCTCTTTTCATATTACATTGCTTAGTAAAAACAGGGTAATATACTTTACCTAAAATCCACCTCCTTTCAGTGTATGTTTGGATGCCAAGAAGACATTTATAAAGCCAGACACCTTTGGTTATCGATTTCTGTCTCAAGGAAGTAGTGACCTTCATTAGACTCCAGGGATTTAGTTGAAGGAATCCAAACTGGCCCACTGCTTGTTCTTGTTGTGGTTTGGGAATGGAATGCCGTTGGGGCGGCAGCAGGCTAGGGCGGGGCCCGCGGGGGCTGCGGGGTGCCCTGTCTGTCGCGCAGCGTCCCTGCATGCCTCCCTCACAGCTGCCTGGCCGGTGCCCTTGCTCCCAGCTGCTGACTGCTCTCCCATCTTGTGCCCACTTTTGTCTGTCGCCCTGCTGTTAACACAGTGGCTCTCGGCTCATCGTGTCTCTTGTCCTGTCGGTAAAAGGGTGTGCATCGGGGCTGAGAGTGTTTGAACAGGCCTCCCACTTTTTCTCTTCCCCTGGCCGAGCTCTGGGGTACAGCGGCAGGAAGGGGGTCCCAGAGGGACCCAGACCCTGTGTAACCCTTTTCTCCACTCTGAAGTTTTTACAGTGGTGGTAGTTTGATAAGGTAAGTTTAGACCTCACCATTAAGATGACTTCTGGGGAGTTCTGGTCTGGCAAAGGGAGAGCTGAAGAAGTCAGTCCAAAAATCCTCTGAAGCTCTCCTGCTTCAGTATGTCCACTTAAGAGTGAGACACCGTTCCTAATGAAACGCATAAATGGCTTCTCTTACAAACGTCCTGAACGAGGCTCACGGTTAGTAGACTGGGATAGAATTGTTGATCTGGGAAATGTCCGTGGAAGTATCTGTGGACATGGGCTTATGTGAGGGACCGTTTGGGAACAGTATTGTGACTTAGGTTTATGTAAATAATCCTGTTTTACTCTGAGGGTTGTGCTATTAAAACCCACCGTAAATAAGGAGAAATGAACATTGTTGCCAGTTTTTAACAATATTTTCTCTCTTCCTTCTCTTCCCATCACCTTTTGCTTTTGTTTTCATGTTTTTGGTTGTGGCTCTTCCTGTCCGTCCCCTCCCACCTCTGCCTGTCACTCCATCCCTCCCCGTCGTAGCATGGCAAGGCACTGACCTGATGCATAATCACGTCTTGGCTGACGACGACCAATCAAGTCTAGACTCCTTGGGTCGTCGCAGTAGCCTTTCCCGTCTGGAGCCTTCAGACCTCTCGGAAGACTCTGACTATGACAGTATATGGACAGCCCATAGTTACAGAATGGGTTCTACATCTCGTAAGAGCTGTTGCTCATATATCTCTCACCAGAACTAATGCACTTCTGAGCTTTTCTTAACAAATGCTTGTTGTATCGCAGCCTGCTTTTCTTAGATGTTTTCTTGCTGTTCCTTGTCTTTTATGTGATATTTTAACAACTTTTGAGAGCATTGCTGATATTTCCCATTGTACTGTGTGGAGGCCCACTTGCCAGTTCGACCGTCTGTTCGAGCTGCCGCGGTGGAAGGAGGCGGTGCGCTCACGGGGCCGCGCCCGAGGGTCCCTTCCCCCGTGGGTGGTGGTGGCTCTCCAGCTCTGAATGGTCTGGGGTCCTGTTCTCGGTGTAGCACCTGTCTCATTTCTTTGTGAATACAGCTGTGTGAACACTTTCCTATTTTATACGAGACCATACAGGTTTGTGATCTAAGTGCCAGCACCACAGAGGCGACTCTGGCCTTACATAGGGGTCTCAGTGTTCTGTGTGCAGCAGCCCCACTGGGGAACGAGTTGTGGAGAGAGGCCAAGGAAACGCGCACTGGGAAGATGGGGTCAGTTCAGACGGCTGTGTTCTGAGGACCCCACAGGGTGCTTGGCTGCCACGCAGGGCTGTGTGTGGGTGTGGCTAGCGTGGGCCGTGGCTCATCAGGGTGCCTCAGACGGCCGTCCCACGTCCCCGTTTGCCGGGGGTGGGGTTGGGGGTGGGAGTTCTCCGAGGGCCAGGTTACTGTCAGAGCTCAGACCCTCCCCCACATCATCACACCCAACTCTCCTGATTTGGAGCAATCGCTCTTAACTGGCGCTTAGCACGCCCGTGCCGCTCCACTGAAGATTCAGGCCAGACTCGGAAGCACTCGGCCTCTGAAGGTGTATATGCGACTCCGTTCAGAGCCAGGTGAGTGCTTGGCTCCAGTCCCAGCCTGGCTGTACCCCACATCCCTGTCACGCTGCCTGCGACGGACACGGGGTTTGTTTTCAGCAGCTAGCTGCCGTGAAACTCCGTTTACAGCAGCCCGTCCTCTGTGACCCCCATTCCTGATTGTCACGGGGACATCTGAGTCCATTGAAGACCTCGGTTGCCAGGTCACTCACTCACAAGAACGTCTCAGATTTGGAGGGAACTCCCCCACTTGCCTGGGATTTGTTGTAAGGAGATTTCACTGGCCTCTCTCAGATGAATTTCTGCTTCAGAAAGAACTGAACGTGACCTGTTACTTTGAGTTGTGGCATCCAGATCCACATCTGGTCATTGTTCTCTCCCGTGCATGCTGTACTTGGTGTTAAAATGGAACCTCAGGGTTGTGTTTTAAGTATTCATTGAAACCAGCTTCAGAAAACAAGATGCCATAACACGTTGGGAATCACCCGTTTTCCTCTCCTCAGGGTGACTGTAGTTCCGGGTGGCTGTGATCTCTCTCCTCCCCCGGCCCCCAGCGAAGCCCTGTAGCCAGTGTGTGTTTTGCTTGCGCAGAGACAGCCGGGCTGCGGCGCGCCCTAGTTGGCTGGGCGCCGGTGAACCCTGGCGGCGGCGTGTTGCTTAGAGGGTCACACGCCTTCAGTACTGCATGTGGTGAGGTCCTGAGGAAAACCAAGAATTCCAAATAGGTCTCTGTTGCCACACAGCTATTGAGCTGCTCACGCCATCTGGAGATTTCATACTTTTATATCAATTAATATAAGTAAGAAAGTTGAGGAGCAATCTTAAAATTAGTTAGAGCCCAGTATTAACCCACGGTAGAGATGGGGTTTATATGTATTCAGCCAAATAGTGGAAGTTTGGGAGAAGTAGGACTACGAAGTTCATGCAGTGAACTTAGCAGCAGTTGTTTTATTTTGTATGTGTACAGCAGTCACCTTTTCTGACGCTAATAGTAGAATGTCTGTCTGTCTGCTCTGAGGCTGCCGTTGGTGAGTTGGCGTAGCCGCCTTTGCCAAGAAGCCTCAGTAAGCGCGGGGGCCCGTGTCGCGCGTGCCACAGCACTGCGATACTTCCTTATCACCAAGTGTCGTTTGGGTCGTTCTCCGGAGACCTCACGTTCTGTCCACCGAGGTCTGACACTGTCCCCCAGTCCTTTGGTACCAGTTAAAGCCACGTGCGCGGTGATTTTGCTGATGCTGGGATCACTGTATCACACCGCCCTGGCTTCTGGTTGTTTGGGCTTGTTTCGAATGTCTGTCACCATTTGCTCTTGTGACCTGGTTGGAAGTGTTAGTGCCACGGGCCTGGAAGTGGTCCCTGGGGGGCAGTGGCAGTGTGGCACCAGAGGGCGGGGACACTCCATCCGTGGAGCTCCGGTCACGCCGAAACGGAGTCTGCTTGGTGCAGCTCTGTCCTGGCCGTGTGCACAGTTAGCGCCGTCGTGTGCGGGTGCAGACCCTGAACCTGAAGGTAGGTGGAAGCCGTCCCGGGCCTTCCGCGGGGCCCTACGTGGTGTTGACCTTGAATTTACCCTTGCCACAGTATATAAGCTATATTAATTATGTGTTTTGCGTAAAATTGCCAAAACACAGTAATGTGTATATAGTGGAATAAGAGACCTTGAAAAAAAACTTCTATATTGTGTTTTTTCTCTGTGAATGGGAAAGCCATTTTTAGTGGGTGACGGCCATTTGAAGACTCAGTTGGATGTACACCTGAATGTTGCATTGTATTGTACAGTATGCATACTGTTTGTGGTTGCATATGGCAAATGAAGTGTTTGTTTTATAAAAAAAAAAAAAAGACATCTGTTATGTACAGTTGAAATAAATTTTGCATTTGCTAGCCTGTGGCTTTTAATATTTGTTACCTGGGGGGCGGGGGAGTAGCATAGCTTGCAACTGAATATGATTTGGCTGTTCTCCTGTATGTTGTCTTCCAGAGGAAGGCCAGGCAATGGGACACTTTCTGTCTGCTTTGGTAGAGAGACATGCATTTCCTTAGAATAAATACATTCTAGACAATACAGGGTGACTCCTGACACACTTTTATTTCCTTTCTCCCTCTTTTTTTAAAGAAGTTTTCGGTCACTGAAAGGCTTGTCTTCAGAAAGAAGCACTCTTGGTTTTGTTGTGCATAAATGGGGGGAAAAAAGCCTATAAATAATAGATTTTTTATTTTTTTAAGACTAAGGTCAGTTTTAATCTTTGTTTTATAAAGTGCGTGCCCAGCTGGCTGAGAAGTGAAAAGGAGTGTCCGTGTGGGGCTAGGGCAGGGTGCAAACGGTAAACAGATGCAGATGGTTCCCCAAGGAGATGCCTCACATTTTCCTAAGAAAAAAATTAGAATCCTATGATAGCCATAAATAACAAATGACCTTTGGGAGAGGTTTTATTAAATAGATTTCTTTTAAAAGTTGTAATATTTTCCTTCATTCTGAAAGTTCGGTTTCGCTTGAGTATAATTAGGTGCAGATTTTAGAAAGATGATGAATTTAAGAATCTATGGAGTTCTCCCACAAATGTACTCGACTGCTGGCCAGATGAGCAGATGATCTTTCCTGAAAAACACCATGTTTAGGCTTCTGATGCAGGCTGACTCTGTCACGCATACACACGCACATGCCCACACGCACACGCTAGCCCTTGTGTGCCCTGGAGTTGACTGAGCCATGTGTCCTGTCGGTGTGTCCGGTCAGGTGGCAGTCTAACCACGGAGAGGCGCCCGGGCTTTGAGTCCCCTGCTCTGTGCTGCTCAGGCAAGGCCTCTGTGCGGTACCGGCCCTCGCTAGATGTGTGTTTCTCAAAGACCCACAGTGCTCTGAGAGGCTGCAGGTGTTGTAGGGGGCAGGGCTCCACGTGTCTCCAGCTTGTAGATCACACCTCTAAGGGCACAGGCTCGCCTTCCCGTCTCCCGCTGTGTGGCAGTGTGCAGCTACCATGGCGTGTCTGCCTGTGGCCTCCGCAGCCAGATTCTGCGGGCATGTTCTCTGGAGTCCTCCAGTTGGAGAAATGTTGGATTGGTGCTACGTGTCGATTACAGTTCCATTGTAGTCACCCCCGTACTGAACAGCAAATCCAGCCAGTACTTGTGTGCATGTCCTTGTAGATGCAGACAGGGTTCTAGGCTAGTCCAACACCCCTTTTAAACCGTGACACACACAACTGTGGAATGTTGCTGAAAGGAGGCGCGGCACTCAGGTGACTTGAGGAAATGCCGAATTAAAGTAAGTGGGTATTTCTACTACACACCCGGTGAAAACCGTCAGCATGCCCTGTGTGCACTGTGGACCTTCCAGAAGTGGCCGTAGCCGTCGGCATTTTCCAAAGCAATGTGGTGCAGAACCCCTGCGTTAGAAGGTGGAGGGACAGCAAAATACCCCCAAACCGAGAAGGCACTTTGAGGCAGGAAAAGGAAGCAGGCGACACCATACGGCTTACACAGTGTTATTCTGGGGGGCACCCCCTTACTGATGGGGGGTCAGGTGGGCGATGATCCAGGTGCTGCACGGCTACTCTCCAGGAAGTGCAGACCTGAGTCCCCCAGATGGTGTAGACGAGAGGGCTGTGCAGCAGAGGCTGCTGTGGGGGCCCAGCGTCCGTGTGCCAGGGGTGGGAGGGGAGAGACGTCTCTCTGCTAGCTGTGTGAATGACTTCAGGCACGTTCCAGATGAGCCCTTCGGGTCAGGGCACACACTCCCTCCCTGGGGCCTGGAGCAGTAGCCCCCCAGGGAGGTCACCGCATGAACGCCCGCAAGATGGAGTACTGACAGTGCTCGTACCCCATTACCTCCTGGAAACGCAGACCTTGAATGTGCTGGACCATCATGAACCCATTTCTCTGTGTCTCAGCCCCTTTTAGAGGATTTTAAATAAAGTGACAGAACATTCTTGGCGGGTTCTGTTGTTTTGCCAAACAAAGTAATTCAGGGAAAACATGCTGTGATCCCTCTAAAAATACCCAAGTGATCTTTGAGATAACTTGTTAAATCTACTTTGTAAGACTTGGCTATTTCTGTAAGAACAGACTTACTTATAAACCTGGCTGGAGAACATCTATTTAATTTTCTGAAAAACCCAAGTTTTCCTGTCCTCGTAGAAACACATTCCACTGAAACTAGGCGCATTACTAGCATCGTATGGATTTCTCTGCAGGCTAGTAAATATTCATTTTCCACACCAGCATCTTTCAGGAATCAAGCCGTTAAGTCCGTACATTCTGCCTATAACATTCTCAAATTTAAGTTTGTATAATAAATTCTGGTATGCTTTCAGTGTATTTCCAAAAATAACCGTCACGTGTATGCTACTCGTGTATCAGTTCTCACGGGCTTTTCATCCTCTGATGTCCCGTTACGTAACGGGATTGAAGGCTTTCGTTTTTGTGACTTTACCTGGTAAAAGATACTAAATGTGATTCTTAAATTCTCAGAGCAGCTCTGCAGAGTTGGTAGCTCCGTTCTGCTTTACGAGCCCTGGGCCTCCCTACTCGTGCGGATGGGACAGCGCCTGCTGTCTGACCCTTGTCCTTATGGCACAGGCGTCCCTTGTTTCTCCTGCTGCTTGAAGCTGGGAGCGCCTCGCGTCAGCGGGCAGCCCAGGAAGCTACAAGGTGTGAAAATAACCGGAGAGAGATGCGAGGAAGCCCATCTTCCCACAGCGCTGCCCGGTGAACTTCTCATCCTGTCGAGTCCTCACATGGATGACCTAACGAGACGTCGTATTTCCAGCCGGGGGTGATGGACTCACAGCTGGGGCCTCTTCTGATCTGACCATAACACAGAGTGGGTGGCAGGGGCGGGGGCACTTAGGAGCCGACTAAGTTGACTCATGACCTCTCTTCATGGCGAAAATTCACTGAAACCGTTTTGTCCTACACATGTGGTATACACATTTGAATTTTTATGTGAATGCCTTTGTTTCTCTGGGGAAAACAGCACATGAGCAAACTAACTCTCCTGATGAAAACGGAGGTAACGTTGTGTGTCTTGGAAGCACGGGATGTTCCACGGCCTTCAGAATTCTCACCTCAGCTGGTACCACTGAGCTTTCCCTTATTTGTCCCACATACCAGTTTCCTTCCTAAGCAGTATTTTCCGGTGTGGCCCAGAAGCCCCCAAAGGATCTAGAAGATGACGTGCCTGCAGTCCCTCGCAGAGCCGTGGCAGCTGGAGCCGGCGATACTCCAGGAGGCCGATTGTCAGCGTACTGATGTCTTAAGAAACCTGTCCCTCTCAGGAGCCGTGTCTTGAAGGATGTTGCCCTCTGTCTGAAGAGTAATTCCCCTTGGGGATGGGTGACTGTGACGGGGTGGGGTTCTGCCCCTTAGTGAGGGGTACCGCAGAGTGACACGTCCCAGTCCCTGGCAGCGACGGGACCGGACAGGAGAGCGGCAGTGTGCTGATGTGCGCCCATACACCGGCTGTTGGGGCTTGTGACAGAATCCTAAGTGCCCCATCCGATCAGAGCACTAAAGTTACTGATGCCCCGAGGGGCCCTTCCTTCCTTGGGCTGGAGACATATGTACGTGCCGAAGCGTGCGCCGTGGGACACATAGTGGCACTTGCTTGCCCGGAGTTTAATCTTCTCATGCTTGGGACGGCACAGCAGGAGGTGGTCCACATCCTAGCTTTGTCCAGTTCCTGCCGTTACGTTTCATGGTGCGCTTGGATCTGACGTCCTTCCCAGGCTGTGTGACGGGAACAGAGCAGGTCTTGAAGTTGTCCAGGTGGCAGCAGGGAGAGTCGAGGCCAAGGCCCTGTGGCCAGCGAACTCCAGTCCTCTGCCCTGTGGTGTGCAGCCGTGGAAACAATGGAGCCCTGTGGCTGTCAAGCTTTGATGGTAATTGTTAGTCCTGTTGAGAGGGGATTAAGCTGACGCTGAAGTGCTGGTGAAACTATTCTTAAAACCCTGTCTTTAAGAAAATTGGTGTCCTGCTGAATGTCCCCATGACGCAAGGAGGCACAGCCATCTTAGAGTTTGGCAAACTTTGCGGAAGGCGGACTAAAGGTAAACCAGGAGACAGTGAGTTGTACCATCATCTCTGTAATCCGTTAGCAGCTGTCAAACACCAGTTGTATTTGTTTAATGGAGAAATGTTTATCAAAATACCACTTGCAGGTGTTTACATTCTGTGGTAGATTCTTCCCTCAAATTTGCATCTGATACTTCTCAAAAGTAGAAGTTTTGTAGTGTTGTATAACCTTTTAAGAAAGTACTACCTCAGATTTTCTTTTTTGTGTCCTTAAAAAAGATTTGAGTCTCCTTTCTTACCTGTGAGATATTGGGGTTTTCCGGTTTCTTTTTTTTTTTTTTTTTTTAATGTTTTTTTTTATTTTTTTGGAGAGAGAGAATGAGAGATAGCACATGAGAGGGGGGAGGGTCAGAGGGAGAAGCAGACTCCCTGCTGAGCAGGGAGCCCGATGCGGGACTCGATCCCGGGACTCCAGGATCATGACCTGAGCCGAAGGCAGTCGCTTAACCAACTGAGCCACCCAGGCGCCCTGGGTTTCCTGGTTTCTAAAGTACCCATCCCACAGCGCGTGTTCCTCGGGACAGGGCCCAGGCAGGCTGCAGCGCGGGCCCCGGAGAAATGGTGCACGCCTCCCTCCGACATCGTCAGCACTTTACCACCTTCCGCTGGGAAAATGTGTATGTTCCAGGGAATGTCAAATGACGTTTTCACGAAAGAAGTAATAAATCTCAGTTTTTCTAAACCACGTGTCTCAACCTTTATTTTTACTTGTTGCTCTAAAGTTAAGCGTTTCGTCAGCTGTTTGCATTTATGAGCACCCTGTGCGCGCCACTGTCTGGCCCATCTTTCTAAAATGCCCGGACTGATTGGTCTCAACGTTTGATTCAGATGTTCCCCCCAATTTTTTTGGTATTTATTCCAAAACATCCAGGGCACTGGGGTCAGGACCTTGCTACCTGTGGAAGATTTCAGGATTTGATCCCGATTCATGAAGGAACCGAAGCTTAATAAATCACCAAAAGGCTGGTGCTTCCTTTCGTCTAGATGCTTTAGGCATGAGAAGGACTGAGTTCGCTAGGCAGAAGTGGAGAAAATTGGTAAAAAGCTGCCCTTCCTGTGTTGTATCTAGAGAGTTTCCTAACGCACGATCCCCGGGATTTAATAGTGATGTTTAAGTCGTGTTCTTGAGTCCGGTTTTCACTTCCACCATGGCATTCACCTGTGGCTTTGTGTTTCTGTTGTTTTAATGACATAGGTTCACGCAAAGAGCCTGCTCCACAAGTTTTGCTTCCAGAGGAAGAGAAGATGATAGTTGAAGAAACCAAGAGTAATGGTCAGACGGTGATCGAGGAGAAGTAAGCGACCCCCAGCGTTTCAGGGCAGGGAGGTGGGGGTGGACGCTAGCCTTAACTGGGCTGCTGCACGGCGAGTGGAGTGGGACGGGTAGCGGGCGGGGCACTGTTGTGCCCCCTGGTGGAGTGCTTCCGGGCGGCGTCCTCACTCCCATCCCGGTTCAGGTGTTTGTCCCATTTTCTGTTTCAGGAGCCTCGTTGACACGGTCTATGCGTTAAAGGATGAAGTCCAGGAGTTGAGACAGGTGAGTCCTGACCACCTCTTCAGTCTTGTAGTGGGGTCAGAGGAAAGCACCGTGTGAAAAGCGAGGCCATCTGTCCCTAGGGACACTAGCACCGAGGGGGCAGCCTTTCTCTCTGCTCCAGGGTCAGTTTGGTCCCCTGTGAATGGGACAGACCAGGAAATGAATTCTTAAAGTGACCTGTTCAAACTTTGTACTGTACTGTCGGCATTATAAATCATCTCAGGTCCCGTTGGGATCATCATTTAAAACATCCAAAGATCCTGCTGGGAAGTTCCACCACTTGCTGGTGGAATGCACGGTTCTTGTTCTTAAGAAGTCAGGTGAACTTGGCTAAGTGACCGAGTATATTTTGCGTATTTTGGGTAAAGTACGTTGCACACCAGCTTGTGTCTCCGAGGAGTGCGTGGTGAGCCCTGCATGTGAGGCAGGGGGGTTGGGGTGTGGCGCGATCTGGGCCTGGACGTGCACTCGGCCGACCTCGCTGCGTCCTCGCGGCTTCCACGTGCTTCTCTTCCGAGTTTGAAGGGACCCTCAGCAGTGGGTACAGGTCTGCACGCCTCGGGGCGATCGGGTTGAAGTGTGGGAAGGCAGGCTTGTGTAGCCTTTCAGCTGCTGCTACCGTTTTTCTATAAGAGGACTGTAGGATCTTCGCAGATGTGGAAGGATGCGCGCAGTTCCTTTTGTGACTTTCATTCACCCTCTCGTGAGCTATGCGGAGATTCTCTGGCTCGATAGTTAGGGCTGTTCTTCCATCTGTGATTGGTCCTGCTCATAGGAGCATCTGTGGGAATGTGGCGGATTCTGGCCCGGGATCACTCCTGGGAAACAAGTCCTCTTCTGTGCCCAAGACACTCAGCTTCCTGTGGTCTGCTTCGTTTACAGGATAACAAAAAGATGAAGAAATCTCTGGAGGAGGAGCAGAGAGCCCGCAAAGACCTGGAGAAGCTGGTGAGGAAAGTTCTCAAGAACATGAACGACCCTGCCTGGGATGAGACCAACCTCTGAGGAGTGTCGTTGCTTCTTCCTCCGAGAGCAGCTGGAGACCGAGCCGGGAGCCCCACCCTAGCCCGGGGTGACCCTCAGGGCCACGGGGCAGGGCTGGACAAAAGTCATCTTGCTTTCTGGGCATGGAAAGGCCGGAGTCCATCCACAAATAGAAGCGGTCACATTGTCCCTGAAGGACCCAAACACGAGGTGTAGACCCTGGGGCTGAGCTGCGTTAATTTTACCCTGTTACCACCTCAATTACCTCTTTTTGCAATAAGCGCAGTGACTACAAACCCTGGCGTCTCAGGCTCTTGTGGGTCTGTATAAACAATTATATGTACACGTTTCTTGTAAGTGCTCCGTGTTGAATGCGTACCCGTGATTGCTGCACCTGGGCTGACCACCCGTTGCTAGAACCCCCTTCCATTAACCTTCCTGGTCCCACAGACAGCAAGTTGTGCTCATGTGCTTGTGGAAAGCAGAGGCGCGAGGGCGCCTGGACGCATTGCTAGGCGCCTGGTTGGCTCTCCGCTGTAGCCCCCGTGTGCTCTGGGAGGACCCCCCACTTTGGTAGGCCCACGTAGCCTTGTTTGTACCTGCAGGGATACCTTACTAGCCTTGAAAGTCTTCCGTTGAAGCAGTGCTGCTGTCACCCTGAGTGGGTGTCCTGGCTCAGTGAGGGAGACTCTGGCTTCAGCCTCCAATCCCAGAAGTCCCCCGTGCACCACCGTGTCCGGCTGCCGGCATCTGCGATTGCCTGCTGCGTGTGAACGGCGGCTTGTCGGCGTGCATTCTGTGCCCGGTGGGAGAGCAGACTTGTCTATATAGGCTGGTTTAATAACGTGACAAAACGCACCGTTTGTCCCCCCCCCCCCCCCCACCGAGAAAGCTCCACCAGAACCTGTAAATAAACTGCATTATTTATTCCGTATCACTGAGGCCGATGAAGGCACACCAAGGATACCGTGAGTGGACATGGCAAGCGTCAGGTGGGAGTCCTTGTCAGGCCTCTGTGAACTCCGACCTCTGTACCACCAGCGTGCAACAAGCCTTCTGTGCTCCCTGGGAAAAAGAAAGGTTTCCCTCCAGTGAGAATAAAGCAATAGAAATTCTGCCTAAAGTACTCAGTTTAAATGCCGGTCCGTTCCCCGCCCCATACCTGAACGGCACTGGGGGCAGGGAGGAAGCCTGCCTGAGCCCAGCCCCGCTGACCTCTCTGGGCCGGGGAGGTGGGAACCTCAGAGCCCTGGGGCAGGAGCCTCAGCCATGGAGCCAGCTTGTTCCGCCTCGTGGGCAGGACACCGTGTCCCAGGAGCTGCTCTGCTGCTCTCCTCCGAAGAGGTCGGCTTCCAGTGGAGAGAATCTGGTCCCTAGAACGAGTGTTCTGTCTTTAAAACAAACCAGCACTACAGACTTCCCAGAAACAGCCGTGTGGCACCAGGTGGGACTTGGGCCTTGCGGTCTGTGGGGTCAAGCGACCCTTTAACTGCATGGGGATCTTCTGACGCCTTGGAACGGGGCGGCTCTGGGACTCCTTGGCTTTCTGCTTGCTGGTGGCTCCTGTCCAGGTCGGGGCTGAGCCCTTGGCCCACCCGTCTGCGGCTGGCGGGCAGTTGCTGGAGCTGGGCCCTCCTGGCTGCGTGCCCAGCAGGTGTGTGCGCGGCTCTGCATCCGCCTGCCCTTGTGTGGCCTTTCTGGTAGAATTCTCAGCTTTCTGCACTTCACATTTTGTTTACTAGCGCTAGGACTAGAAAAGAGCCTTTGTGGGGGGAAGCCTTACTTTACAGTGCTTTTTGGTGATGCAGAAGACCTTGCCATAGAAAACACTTTGGAGTGTGCCGAAGTTTGTGGTCTTGCACTCAGGGACGGCCTTCACCCCTGATCTCTCCACCTCTCTCTGACGGGGGATGTTGCCAGCTGCCTCCCAGGACGGGTCTCCTAAACCTGCCTTAACTTGACTGCAGCACTGAGGGGGAATGCACGTTTCTCCCCGTCCCCGCTCTGATGGGACCGTTGGGACTGTTGAGACGCCTGGCAGTTCCACTGTTTCACTAAGCTTCTTAGGGAGCAGAGTCTGAGAGCTGTTCTGTCTACGAACCTGCGGACCGCTTCCGTTTCCCTGACCTTCCCAGGGACTGGGGGCTGGCGGCGGTGGGTGGAAGGGGCCCCGTTTACCCCGAGGGCGAGGAGATAACGCACTTGCGTTTCTGCTCGATGTTGAGATTTGATGGCGGAGACTGTCCTTGGGGCTCCCGCTGTGTGCGTCGCATGCGTGCCAGGCCCTGGGACAGGGGAGCCTCAGGGTTTCTGACCCTTCCCGCTGCCCCCGCGCTGGGTCCCTAGGCCGCACTCACGGCATCCCTGTTGACAGTAGTGGGGCCTGTCACGTGAATGCCACAGGCTGTCCTGGTCTTGACTAAGCCTGTTCCGTCGTTGTCATTAAACAGACTTTCCTTACCTTACGACGTTGCTGTATCTTCTGTGACGTGCTGGGGTTTGGTGCATGTTACCTCTACGCTTTCTTCTGACTTAAATCTTGAAAAGTTCTGGTGTAGATTTTTGATGTTGGAAAAATCACATTTGCCTTTAAAATCTAGGGTTTGGGAATAACTGAAGATACGTCGGATTAGAAAAAGGAGGTTTGTAGGGAAGGAGGGGGAAGGCGTGGCCGGCGCTGTGGGGCACAGCCCCTTGGCCGGCTGTAGAATAAGGACTTCCATCCTGGAGGATGCTCGGTCACCCGTCCTGCGGGTGCAGTGAGGGAAAGCGTCCTTCGGGATTTCTGAGGGCCTTCTAGGACAGATGTGACAGCAGCAGGTTGCCTGAGCGCGAGCCTTGCCCTTCCCTGCGGGCACTCCCTCCCGGTGACCGCCCCGTCCTGCTGAGCGGCTGCAACCCATGTGCTCCTGGCCGCGCAGAGCTCCGGCCCTTCGGCTGAGGAGCCGAGCGGTGCACCCCACAGGCACTGGGGTCTAAGGAAGCCTTGTCACGTGACTTGGTAACCCCTATTTTGTCCCTCTTTCTCTGAGATTTTAGGGAGACCAGTGATGGCGCACGGATCCTGAGGAGAGGCCAGTCTTGCTCGGTGCCGTGTGACCTGCATCCGCGGGGTGGCTCACATTTGCCGTGGCCCCGTACTGTCCCCTGACCCTCCAGAGGGCAGGCCATCCCCACAGCCACGCACCTGGAATTCCGGCCGTGCGCCGTGGACACGGGGTGGCAGGCCGTCCCTGGAAGGGGGCCGCGAGGCCTGGATGACACAGCCACTGCCCAGAGTGCCCTCGGGCCCGGCCCTGCGCATAGCCGTGCCGGCCGCCCGGCCGCCAGGAACCCCAGTGCAGCTGGTGACCGGAGTCGGGAGGGTTTCTGTTACTTGCGGCTGGAAGGAGTCCTTCGGGAAGGCCCTTGTGTTGATCTGCGCTGTGAATGGAACGGGCGCTCCGTCGGGCCTTTCTCTTCCGGTTGTTCGACTTGGGGGGGCAGTTTAGGCATTTGTGTTTCTCATGCTAGTCTCCACAGTAATACCTGCTTGTGGGGAAGATGCGCAGGGACGTCAGGTGAGGAGCACGTATCCCCTCTCCCAATAGCCTCTCCTGCTTCCACGAGAGTAACGACCGGGGTGACGGGTCTTGTGTTCCCCTCACTACTTTCAAGCAAATGCAAACACATGTCTGTGTGATTTTATTCCCCACAAACAAGAGCATACTGACCGTAAAAAAAAAAAAAAAAAAAAGCACACTGACCGTGTTCTTCTGTAACTGGCCTTTCTCTTAAATCCCTGTGGGAGTAGTGGGCCGCCGTACCACATCATAACAAATCCGCGGTGGGTCGAAGACCTGGATGGGAAGAACAGAACTTGACAGGGTCCGAATACGGTCTTATCATGTGTGTTCCCGTGCAGGGGCGTGTAGGCTGCCTCCTTGTCCGGCAGCCGCACGGATACCCCGCTGATGGAATGTGCTGGTTCATTCCAGGGACCTCTTAGGAGGTGATTGGGAGGGGCGGTGAATGTCCCTCTGTGTGCAAGCAGGTGAGTATTACAGCGATAGCATTAATTTCTGGAAACATTGTGTCTTTTAATTTTGAGAAAATTTGCCAGATTCCTAGAAGGCGTTTTAGAAATGACATTCTTGACCTTGCGCTTCTAGTTTTTCAAAAAAGGGAGTTGAGGTCTGAATGCCGTCCACAGCCTTTTCTTCACTGTTGGTGTGTTGGCCTCCGTGCCGTGGAGTCCCCGGGGAACACGCTGCTCAGAAAGGAGGCTAAGGCAGCGTACACCCACCAGCCCAATACTCCCTCCATAAAGCAAGTGAAACCGGTCGCAGCGACCTCCCAAGACCTCCTCTCTGGCCCTGCCTCTCCCCCTGTAGGTCCTCCGGGCACAGGGTGCTTCGGCCAGGCCGGGTTGGGCAGGCGGCCTTCCCCTCTGGTGGCTGGGTGCTGCTGGCCGGTGTCCGGCCCAGCACCAGGTAGACGGAACAATTGCTACAGCTGTGATCCGGACCCGGCCAGTGCTCCGAGGGCCCAGCGTCCGGGGGTGAGGGGGGCCCGCAGGCTGGCGGGCTCATGCGCGGTTCCGTGGGTGACTGCGTCTGTTTCATGTCCCGTAGCCATGGGAGGACTTCTAGCTGGCCCGGCTGTCTCTGCGGCTCAGTGCCGTTAGTCGTGGGACACTGTGTGCCGTGCCCCTGAGGCTTTTTTGTACGGGGAACGTGGAGCCTGTGCAAGGAGAATACATGGTCGTGGTCCCCTAGGGCTGATTCCCATTCCCGGCACTGTGGCCCCTGGCATCGCGGCGCCTGTCACCATGCCAGGGAACGGTCGGGAGGAGAGGCCAGGGGCCCCTCACTTCTGGTCCCTCAGTTACCAGGGAAGCCCTGGTTTCCTCTCGAAACACAGCAGATCACGTCCTTAGGCTTTCACATGTGGTTTTACAAAGCTACGATTCTGCGGCTTCCCCTTCGGCCACAACCTGTTTCTTTCCTCCTGAGCAGATAGACCCCTCTGGAGACTTGTCCATTTCCTCCCCGCTGGGCTTCTGCCCTGCTCCCCCCATCGTTGGGGAGATTCCCGGAGCACCCCAGGCCCACCCAGCCAGGCCAACGTGGACCCTGCCCTTCCCACAGCGCCGCAGGCCTCCACGGACGGACTGTGAGCTTGCCGGTTCCCTGACCCCGGGCCCTACGCCCCCCATGTCAGCAAAATCCCTTTACGGTGCTAGTAAACGGTTAGGAGTTGGAATTCTTGGCGGTTGTCATGGGTCCTGGTGGTACTTTATTTCAGAAAACCCGTGGCAACACCTACTCCCCCTGGGAAGTCCTCACAGTTGACAAGAGCAAATGTCTGTCCTCTCCTCCCTCCTCTCCCACTCTTCTGTCAACGAAAATGAAATGTGTTCAGTGCAGTCGCTAGTCCTCACTGGGGAGCGGGGCTCAGGGCTCACAGACTAACTCCGACCACGCTGGCTGCTCCCTTGGTGGCCACAGAGAGGAAGCGAGGCAAATGTCCGGCCCCCAGAGGAGCCGGGCGCCGACACCCCTGCCCTGTGGACGAAGCCGGACACCGGAGACCGCACACCCCGTGCTTCTAGTGATGGGCATGCTGAGCGCGGCGGGCCTTGCTGGCTGGAGGTGCACCATGGGTAGCGGGGCAGGGGCGACGCCCTGCTCATGGGTGCGAGGTTTCTTCCTGGGCTGTTGGAGACGTTCCGCAACGGGTTGTGAATGCTGCAGACTCCGCAAGTGCCCCGAACCCACTGACTGGTGCACTTCCCGTGGGTGAAGCGTTTGGCCTGTGAATTGCAATGCAGTGGGCGCCAGGCTAGCGCATGGGGCTGTCAGAAGCCCTTGGGGTGTGGGTGCTACCACGGAGCGGGTACTGTGTCGTCACCCTCATGTTACAGTAAAGGAAACCGTGGCGCCGAGGCCAGGTGCTACGATTGGTGATGAGGGGGACTGAAGCCCGCTTCCTTGTGGCGTGAGCCGTGGGAGGACAGGCACTGCCAGATCCGCGGGCTCAACACCGCACCCCAGACTTGCCAGGCTGCTCTCACTGGGGGCCCGTCTCCCACCCACCCCACCGTGGGCCGCCCTGGCTGCCCTTGCGGCCCTCTCCCCTCTCGCCTGCACCCTCCGCTCCTCTCTGGCCTGGTTGTCACGGTTTGCCTTCCCCCACGTCTCCCTGGGGCCCTGCTCTTGGGGTCGCAATGACCCAGGTCCCAGCACAAGGCTACCCTGATTCCCGCCCCACCAGCTGTTGCTCGCTGCCCTGGGCTCAGCCTCTGGCAGCAGTGCAGCTCCTGAACCCCGCGGGCTGGCCCTTCATGGCCCCCACAGCCCTCCTGCCATGTCCTGTGGCCTCCTTCCCACCTGCGGTCTGCCAGCACTCAGCCCTCCCCTATAGGTCCCTGCTCTTTGCCCCTGCGGCCCAGGCGTGGGAGAGGGATGGTCACCGGGCACCTGGACCTCCTCACTGCTCCCATACCCTTCTCTGGGCTGGGCACGGGCCTCCCTCCTCTCCCACTCTTCTGGAGCTCCTGCCCCCCAGGCCTGCCTCATGCAGGTTCTGTGGCCCCAGCAGGCTACTTCCCCAAGGCACACAGATGGCTTTCCAGCCCACCGGCTGCTTGTCACGCCCTTGGGACCTCAGCCCTGGCCAGACCGGTCCAGACCGGTCCCCTCAATCCTCAGGTCTCCCAAGTGTGCAGCCTCTTGGTTTCTCAAGATTGGCCAGGCCTGGCTGACCCCAGGGCCTTTGCACTTGCTGCTGCTTCAGGCTTGCATGCTTTCCCTCACTTCCTCCCCACACTGTTCAGCCAGCCTGAGGCCGCCGGCTTACCCCACGTAAGCAGGGAATCAGTCTCAACTCCGTGCTCTGCTTCTCCCCTGCAGCACGTGCCTGACCTGACGTGGTCTGTCTCCTTCTGTGGGGCTCCATGTCCCTGAGGGCGAGGGGTTTGTCTGTTTTGCTCACTGTTGCGTCCCAGCAAACGTGGACACCCCAAGAAGGACGACCCAGGAGCGAGCGCAGGACGTGAAGCCAGGCCTGGACATCCTGCAGAAAAGGGTCTTGGGCGGGGGGTTCGTGGCCCCCCTTCCACTCGCCCTCAGCACTGTGAGCATTCCCGCCACTGGGCCCCCCTGTGTGATGTCATGGGCTTGTGTGACGTCACAGTGGACAGGGCGGGCTTGCAGTCGGCTCCAGTCTCCACTGGTGGGAGCCCTGGAGGGAGGAGGTGCCGGTTTCTTGTTTGATCCAAAGTTGTCCCCTTGGAGTGTAACAGGGCTACGCGGCTGAGGGGGCTTGGCTGGGGACATGGTCGCCGGGTGAGACCTGGGCCCGCGCTGCCTGGCCCCCTGTCCCTGCCCGCCCCCCCCCGCCCATGAGGTCCCGCCTGTGCTAACCCGTTCTCTCCCCCAGGTTCCCTTGACCCTCTCGTCTGCCCTTCGACTGCTACAATGCGATATGCACCAGAGTTCAAAAAGTCCCCCTCGCATCTGCTGAAGAAATTTGCAGGTACCTGGGAAGGCCCGCCGCGGGGGCCTGTTTCACCCCGTGGTGGTGGCGGTTACTCACCAGGCTGAGCCAGGGACCGGGGGCAGTGGGATGCAGGAAAATGCTGTGAAGCCTTCATTTTCTTGCAAGTGTCGTAGAGACGTCTGAGCCGGAGGTGTTCAGCTGGCTCACGGGGCCCCAGGGTCAAAGACGTTTCCTTGTGATGAGCCACATGGATGCTTCCATCTCAAAACGTTTGTTGCAAGAGCGACTTTCTCTTGAAGAGAACATGTTTCTCAGCAGGAAAGCCCGCCTCCCCCATCCTGGGTGCCCTGGGCCTGCGGTCGGACACTCGTACTGGGCGCCAGGGGAAACCAGGGCTACGGGGCCCGCGAGGCTGCCGGTCCGAGTGTGCACACATCTGCGCGGCCACGGAGAACCACACGGGGTGCCCCGGCGGGTAAGGAGGGAGGGGCCGTTCCCACCGTGCACGCTGCCGTGTGACTCAACTTTTCTTCTCGGGGGAGCTTGTCTGTGTGCACTGTGTGATAAAAGATAAGAAAATGGAAGGAAAAGAAATTTGGTTTCTTCCTTTTTTTTTTTTTTTTTTCTTTCTTTGGCTTGGAGCCTGGACTGGCGGGGAGGGTTCTGGGCTGGCCAGGCTTCGGTGAGACAGTTTTCCTGTCACTGGGGCTCACTCGCTCGGACGCCCTTCCTGGGGCCAGTCTGGGGGGCTCCATCACACAGGGCAGCCGGGACACGGAGGTCAGTGGGTCTGGCTCCAAGGCAGGCCGCGGGGGGCCCACTGGAGGAGCTGTGGTTTCCCATCCACAAGGCCCAGGGCAGAGGAGCAGGCTGGCCTGGAGTTGCCCCTCGAGTCTCCTGGCGGAAGCACCCACATGGGGGACAGTGTGTTCTTAGGCCCCGGGAGTGGACAGCCTCTCTCGCCTCTACTTCAGGGCTGTGGGACTGGCGGCCCCGTTGCGGTGGGATGGAGAGCGGTGCCCACCCCCTTCTCCAGGTGTGGGCTGGGGCAGGTTGGTCACTCAGGTGTAGCGAGGCAAGCCGGGGTCCCACCTGTGCTAACCTGCTTGGGGCGGGAGGTCGTCTTCCCTGTCCTCACTGACCCACAGAGGGCCCCGCTCTCCTGGCTCACAGTGACCCACCTGCACTTTGACCCTAAGCCGCTATTCCTCCAAGTTTGCGGTGGGGGGTGAATGGGGGCATGTGACAGTACATCTCTGTCACCCTCAGTAGGCATCCATGTGGCTGTTACATGTTTTTTACTCTGGGACTCGTTGCTAAACCGTTAGATGACAGCTGTTTTGTCAGCACCTGCCGGCAGCCTTCCTGGGGCCAGATGTGCTTCTGTTGTTGCAGGCTGCCTCTGCTGGGCACTGGCCACTGTGGCCTGGGCAGGGGCGGGGGAGGGCAGGTGTGGGGGCTGGGGAGGGGGCGGGCAGGTGTGGAGGCTGGGCAGGTGGAAGGAGGTGGGCAGGTAGAGGGGGGAGGGGGAGGGGAGGTGTGGCAGGCGGCCGGGTGGAGGGGGAGGGAGGGCGTAGGGACGGGGCAGGTGGGGGGGGCATAGGCTTGTTAGAGGCGGCCTGGATGCTGGTGGACCAGAGTTCAGAGCAGAGCCCAGGTCAGCCAGCTGTGCCCGTTGGTTCAGACCTTCATCCCCACCCTGGCTGGGACTCCCCCTCCATCCTCCAGGATGCAGCCTTGGGAGGGCGTGCCTGACCCTCCTTTACGGACTTCTAAGGGTGCTGTCAAGCCCTGAGGGCAGGTGCTGACTCTGTGCGGGGGGAACCCCGCCCCGCCCCGGAAGCGCTGCCTGCCCGGTGTTCCTGTCCTCAGGTGTGCGGCTTTAGCTCCCCCACGTCTGGGCTATCCTCCTGCCTGCCGCTGCTGGCAGGGATGGCGTGGCTCACGTGGTGCCACTGAAGGCTTGCACAGCCTCGGGGCACCAGCCTGGGACTGAACATACAGATGAAGGAACGAGGGAGGGTTGTCGAGATGACAGGCAGCCTCCTAAAGAGGGACTGGCCGCGGTGGGGGGCGGGATTGGCCATCTTCATCTCTGCCCACCATACTCCAGCTTGCCATGCCTGGCAGGTGCTCACCAGGTGGGTGTGGGGAGACAGAGGGGTGCACCCAGTCTCTAGGGGCTGGGGGGCACATCTCAGCTCCACCTAGCCAAGCAGGGTGCCGGCCTGGGGCTCAGTCGCACTCCGTTCAGACGGTGTCCTGTTGAGGGCAGAGGGCGAGCCAGCGGGTCCCCCACCCCACACGGGGCAGCCTGTGAGTTACACCCTTACCGCATGGTTCTGTGCGCCGGGCACTCTGCCCGCCCTGAGGGTGGAAGACCTACGCGGGGTCTCGTGGCAGAGCGACGGCCAGGGTGTGCTTGCCAAGCTCGGGACTCCAGCCGTCCTTCATCAGCAGAGCTAACCTCGGGCCAGCCCCAGCCCCAGGCGGTGAGCTCTCTCCGAGGCTCTACGGCACTTGGTCCTTCCAGAGCCCCACCGCTGAGACCATCCCGTCCCCGTCCCGTCCCCATTGTAGAGAAGACGGGGCTCTGCCAGGTCACGCGGCCGGCAGTGGGGGAGGGAACTTGAGTGCAGGGACCTGGCGTGTGGCCTGTGCCCGTAGCCCTTGTGGATGGATTACGTAGCCTCTAAAACCAGCGTCCTTTTCCTCATGAGGTGCTGTGGCGTTGAAAGTCGTTCCAGTGCCCGTGCCTTGTAAACTGTAAAGTGCCTTACAAGTGCCGTTTGTGTTACGTCTGTGGAGTGGCCGGAACGAAAACATGGGACTCAGCAGCGGGGCGGTCTGTGGTCCTTTCCTCCCACAACCACTGTCCCCTCGTCTGAACCCTCCTGTCTCCACCCTGCGGACGGTCAGCTGGGCGCTGTCCAGACCCCAGCTCCGAAGGGGTCACGCCAGGGATGGAGAAGTAGACGAGATTCTTCTGGGGGCAACTTTCCAGAAACGCAGCAAGACCGCGGGGGAGGTCCAGGCAGATAAAACAGTCCTGGGGAGGAGGTGGGGTGGGCGCGGAGATTTCAGATGTGCTGGGAGACTAACCTCTGCACAGGTGCTCTGGGGACCAGCTGCTCTTCCAGACTGTTCCATGAAAGCAGCCGGACTGGGAAATCACCGACCCACATGTTCTCATGTGAGGAGTGACGTTGAAAGAGAACAATCGTTATGAACAAAATTATGCCTCAACAGCTGGTTTTCTGCCCGTGCTCTTGGCTGAAATAATCCTCTGCCATCATGGAGCACCTTGGAGAACCCTCGGTCCTCCGGCTCCATGAAGACAGTGGGGTGGTAGGGACGCCAGCTCTCCTGGTCAGCTGTGTGCTCTTGGGTTTCCTGGAACTTTCTGGACAAGGTGGAGGGGGCTGAGCACACCTGTGTTTGCCACCATGCTGGCTGTCATCCTGTGGGGCCCCTGCTCTGAATTGTGTGGGAGTGCGGTGGTGGCCGTGCTCCCCATGTCGCCATCGTGAGGGTCTGGTCGGGCTCCCTGCAGCCTGGACCCCGTCAGAGGCGAAGCTGGGCACGGCTGGCATGCCTTTAAACGGATGACCCACCTTGCAGGGCGACTGAGCACTCGGTGACCCCGGGCAGCGGGGGAGGCCGGCCCTACCCGGCCAGCTAGCCGGGCTCTGGGAGAGGGCAGTGGTGCAGGAGGGTGACGCGGGCTTCTCCGTCCCCTGAGGCCGCCCAGCCTGGCTGCTGGAATGTGTAGTGGCAGTCCAGTTGCACGCCTCGGGAAGGAGCGGGAGGGACAGTGGGTTTCTCTGGAGCCCCCACCCGCGCGCTGGGAGACCCCAGCAGGGTTTGGGCAGACACTGCTGCCTGCCCCTGAGGGGACTCACGGGTGCCCGAGGCTGGAAGCGCATCAGCATTCGGCGCTGAGCGGCGCTGAGATGCATCCCCCGCCATCTGCGCCGCTGGGCCCACGGCCCGGATACCAGCTTGCTTGCTTTTGGTCAAAGCTGACATTTTACGTTCTGTCCTTTTCAACCAACTTTTAATTAAACTCTGGAATAATCTTCAGCCTGAGTTGATAATTTTAGCTCACCGTGTGCTCCCCTGTGAATTAATCACACGTTGTGCCTGCGACCCCGATGTCCGTTGTATCCGATCTTCGTTTTCCGTTTCCTTTGCAGAGCGCCGGTCCTGGCGCTGCTGAGATGCACTTTGCCCTCAATCATTACAGGACCCCGCATCAGTGCCTGCAGTTAACTTGACATTATTTTGTTCAGAAATCGGATTCATCCTAGATCTTGGGACAGAGATTTGTATGATGCATAATTAAACACGTCACCCCCCCAGCACCAGCCTTGGAGCGCCCCCAGCCATGGGCTGGGGCTCCTGGCAGCGCTGTGTGTCTGCTTTGCAGTGTGCGACATTCCTCTGTACGACATCTGTGACTACAACATCACCAGGGACCGCTGCAAGGAGCTCGGCTGCTGCTTTTATAAGAGCGTATGCTACGAGAAAGCCGTCCCCGGTAAGCATCCGTGGCCCCCCGCCCCGTGCCGAGCAGCCACTGAGCCCCACAGGCTTCGTGCCCTCGCGGCCTCCGCCGCACCCTGGTTCCATCACTCTGGCGAGTTAGCGGGGCGAAAGGAAGTTCACTCCTGGATGGAACTGAGCTGATACAAGAAGGGTCCCGGGAAGACCCTGGGCATGCGGGGAGGGGGCAGAAGCAGCTGGTTCGAGGTGGGGCTGGCCACCGGCCGTGCCCAAGGTCAGACCCCACGGGGCTTCGCCACAGCCCTGTCACGGTCAGCATAAAACCAGACCCCACTGAGTGCACCCTGACCCCGGGAGTCCAGGATGCACCTGGGATGGTGGGGCCAGCAGGGAGTCCCGATCCGGGGAGGCTGTGGGAGCGGGGAGAGGCCACCCCCCCCGCCCAGAGCAGGGCCTGCTTCCGCTGGGGCTGAGGGATTCACGGTTGAGTGGGAGAGTTGGGGTGCGGGGCAGGATACAAGCCGGGGTGCCCTGGGGGAAGGGGTCTTCTAGTTACACTGTCTGGGGCTTTGCTCACACTTCAGAGCTTTGGGCTTCTCAGCCTCTAGAATTTTCTAAATTAGTATCTCCAAACCCTCACAAAATTCACTAGATGACTGATGTGTTTTCTTGCCCTGTTTGCGGCCCTTTTAGAAGTGAGGGTGCTTGGCTCTAGGAGTATTTGGAGAGGAATGGTGTGTGCGGCGGGGTGGCCTACACAAGATCTTGCCAGAGAGGAGGAAGGTGCCCCACAGACAGAAGCTGGCACGGGCCGCGGACACTCAGCGGGTCCCATGCTGTGGGAGAACGTGTCCCGGGCCCTCCCTGTCCCAGGCCACTCTCCTCTGTCCTCACCTCCCCGGTGGGTAAAGGCATGCTTGTGCCGGGAGACTGGAAAGGTTTCTTCTCTCCTCTGAGCCCCAGGTAGGCTGAGCCCTCGGAGGTGAGACGCAGAGTGACATCTCCCATTCCCGGACATGGGAAGGCCTAGGAAGTCAGAAACATTCATGACTCATAACTGTTCCCAAGGAGGGACTCATGGGGCTGCCTGATCCCACAGACCCCAAACGCTAAGCCAGCTCCTTGTTCAAGAAGGAAGTGACATTCTGCGTAAAGGGATCAAAGAATCCAAAGCATCCGCAGGATCCTGGCTCGCCAAGGGGGTGCATTTGTCTTGCTTTACGGTGAAGTTTTGGCACTTAGGGCAAAAGAGGAGGAAGTTTGGCTTCTCAGAAGGAGGTGAAAGCAGAGGCCATAAGAAATGCCATGAAGATTTTCTGATGACAATTTCTCATCCAGATCTTGAGTTGGAAGACTTGGGACCAGACTCTCCTTACTTCTTTCTGCCTCTGGGAGACCCGAGCAACCCTAGGATCCCACACCTTTCCCTGTACCTGTAGATAGAAACAGCTGGAAGTTACCTCTTTTTTGGTTATTTTTATTGAGATAAAATTCTCATACCATACAACTTACCCCTTTAAATAAAGTGTACAATTCAGTGGTTTTTAGTGTATTCACAAAATTGGGCAACCATCACCACTATCACTTCCAGAACATTTGTATTAGCCCCAAAGAAGCCCTGTACTCATCAACTGGACAATCCCCATTCCCCCCTGCCCCCACCTCCAGCCCCTGGCGACCGCTGATCTGGACATGTCACATTAATGGAATCATGCAATATGTGACCTTGTGTGTCTGGCTCCTTTCACATGTTTTCAGAACTCATGCGTGTGGGAGCAGGTGTTAGCACTGTGTTCCTGTTTATGGCTGAGTAATATTCCATTGTAGGGATAGACCACATTTGGTTTATCCCTATGTTAGCTGATGGAAATTTGGGTTGTCCCCACTTGTTAGCTACTGGGAACACACGTGTGTATAAGTTTTTGCATGAACATATGTTTTCACTTCTCTTGGGTATTTAGCCAGAAGTGGAATGTCTGGATCATTTATTAAATATACTTAAAATGTTTAAAGAACTGCCAAACTATTTTCCACAGTAGCTGCACTGTTTGACAGTCTCAGCATGATTACCTGAGTTCCAGTTTCTCTGGATCCTCACCAACACTAGTTGTCTGTCTTTCTGATGATAGCCGCCATGATGGATATGAAGCTGTGTCCACTGTGGTTTGGATTGTATTTCTCTGATGAGTAATGATGTTGAGTACCTTTGCATGTGCATTTGGCCATTTGTGTGTCCTCTCTGAAGAAGTCTATTCACATTTCTGGCCCAGTTTTTAACTGGGTTAACTGGGTTAATTCTTTTTATTGTGGTGTTGTAAGAGCTCTGTATCTCTTCTGGATAGTAGACCCTTCTCAGATAAGTGATTTGCAACTACTTTCTCCCAATCTGTTGGTCATCTTTTCACTTTCTTGATAGTGTCTCTTTGAAGCACAACATGTTTTAGTTTTGATGATATCTCGTTTATCTGTTTGTTCTGTGGTTGCTTGGGCTTTTGGTGTCATAGCTAAGAAACCATTGTCTAATCCGAGGTCACAAAGATTTACATCTCTGTTATTTTTCTTTTTCTTTTTCTTTTTTTACATCTCTGTTATTTTCTAAGAGTTTTATGGTTTTAGCTTACACATTTATGGCTTTGGTCCTTTTTTTTTTAATAATTGATGGAGCATTTCTTATGCAACAGACACTGTAAGGTATCATTTGCAACCCTTACAACAACCCCACACGACAAGGAAAATGAGATTCTGAGGGTTTAAGTGACTTGCTCGGGCTCTAATGACTACCCGCGGCTGAGCTAGGACCTGATGGCCCCAGCAGTCTCATCAAATGTAAGTACGGTTGTGTTCCACGCGTCCAGTGACAGGAGCCATCTCTGTGGCCCACCTCTGAGGAAGTAGAATGATCTCTGGCCCACTTTAGGGATGGGGAGATATCAGGGCAGACCTCCAGCAGCTCTTGGCCAAAGGATGATGGAATTTTGAGGCTGACGGTCTTCAATAGAGGAGACTGTAACTTTGGAGAATCCATATGAGCTGTGCTCTTTTTCTCTGCTTCCATGGGTCATCTCTTTCCTTTTGGTTCTTAGATCTGAGCTCCCTCCTTCTGGTTGACTTTGGGTCTGACTTTACTCAGGATCTGGTTTTTTGTTGTTGTCATTTTTATGAAGGCATTGTCCTTCCTGGTGAGTACTCTTCTGCTTTCTGAACCTCTGGTTTTGAGTAATGGTATCCCAATCTGTTAAAATTCCTCAGGGAGGGGTCCTCCTTCTGGGACCCTGGCTGGTTTTACATTTAAAAATTACAGTTCCTTGTGCTATGGTGAGCACTGTGAATTGTGCAAGACTGTTGAATCACAGATCTGTACCTCTTCCAGAAAGTGGTCGCTTTTCTGTTCAGAGAGTTGCTGCCATTCTTTTCTTGGATCTCCTGTTGAGTTCATAGGTGTTCAGAATGGTTTGATCCCTATCTAGCTGAATTCCTGGGACCAGACAAGATTTAGGTCTCCTACTCCTCTGCCATTTGCTCCTCCTCTGGCTTTGGTCCATTTTGACTCAATTTTTTTTTTCCACGGTGTGAGGCAGGGATCCAGTTTCATTCTTTTGCATCTAGATATCCAGGTATTCTAGCAGCATTTGTTGGAAAGACTATGCTTTCTCCATTGAATTGCTTTGCCATCCTTGTCTAAAGTCAATTGCCCATAAATGTGAGGGTTTATTTCTGGGCTCTCAGTTTTATTCCACTAAGCCAGTACCACACCACTTTGATTACTATAGTTTTAGGATAAATGTTGAAATTGAAAAGCATGACTTCTCCAATTTTGTTCTTCTTTTTCAAGATTGTTTTGGTTACTATGGGTTCTTTGCATTTCCATATTAATTTAGGACCAGCTTGTCAATTTCTGGAAAAAAAAATGCCATCTGGGATGTTGATAGGGATTGTGTTGAATCTATAGATAACTTGGGGGTGGGATATTGCCATTTTAATAATGTTAAGTATTCCAACCCATGAACAAGGGATATCTGTCCATTTATTTAGGTCATCTTTAATTTCTCTCTGCAATATTTTGTAGTTTTCCATGTACCAATCTTGCCTTTCTTTTGTTAAATTTATTCCTAAGTATTTTATTCTCTCCTGATGTTATTATAAATGGGTATATCTCCTTAATTTGATTTTCAGATTGTATATAGAATCCTAGGTATAGACACACGAGAATTGAAAGGTTGCTAGAATATAGAAATGCAATTGATTTTTGTATTGTGATCTTGTATCCTGCCACCTTCTTGGACTTGTGTATTAGTTCTTCTCATTTATAGTTGATTACTTAGGATTTTCTGGATACAAGAGTGTATCATCTGCAAATAGAGATTTTTTTACTTCTTTCTTTCCAATATAGTTGGTTCAATTTCATTTTCTTGCTTAATTGCCCTGGCTGGAAACTCTAGTACATGAGGAATAGAACCAATGAGAATGGACATCCTCATCTGGTTCCTGATCTTACGGGGATGTTTTCAGTGTTTCATCCATAAGTATGATGGTAGCTATGGGTTTTACCAAAGGTCAGGTTGAGTAGGTTCCCTTCTCTTCCTAGTTTCTTGAGTGTTTTTATTATGAAGGGATGTTGGATTTTATCAAATTCTTTTTCTGCATCTATTGGGTACCTTAGTGATGCTCTTTATTACTCATGTGGATTTGAGTTACTGTCTAGTATCCTACCCTTTCATCCTGAAGGGACTCCCTTTTAGTATTTCTTGTAAGGCAGGTCTGCTAGTGATGAATGCTCTCAGTTTCTGTTTGGGAATGTCTTAATTTGTCCATTTTTGGAGGATAGAGTCACAGTATATAAAATTCCTGATTAGCAGTCTCTTTCTGTCAACACTTTGAATATTTCATCATCTTGCCTTCTGGCCTCCATGGTTTCTGATGGGGAATCTGCTGTTAATCTTTAGGTTTCTTTATATGTATCATGTTGCTTCTCTTCTGTTTTCCAGATTCTCTGTCTTTTGACTGTTTATTATGTATCCAGGGGTGGATCTCTTT